ACATTTCCAGCTGTCACAGTGCCCTCCATTACTGCTGGCACCCAGGCCATCTCCTGCTCTTTTTCCCTGGAACCGTGCATTTTCCGTGGCTCTGTTGGAAGCCCACTGGAGGCTGTTGGCCTGAGCAGGAATGCAGTGGCATGTGGCTTCCATTAACCCAGTGCAGAGAGGGACCACTCCAGCCAGTACTTGACACAGGAGGTGGTGGCCCTCACAGCTTCTTCTGGGATGGGGAACACAGATGGGGAACCCAGGCAGGAGCTACAGCCAGAGATGACCATTAGCAGCTTCCAAAGACCTGCAGCGATTCACTATCGGGCAGTTGGAACCTGCCACGCTTGTAGGAGTTGTGAGAACCACAGGGCTTGGACATCTCTGACAAACAACACTCCCGGTCTTGGGAGCAACAGTCAGGAGCATCAAGGACACGTCTGTGAGAACAACTGTTCCAACTGAGCCACCTTCATACAGCAACATAGAATCGTCGAGGTTGGAGGGGGCTTAAAGATAATCTAGTCCAACCATCAACCTAACTTTGACAAAAAAGTAAATAAGAAATAAGCAATAAAAAAAAGAAATATCACTAAACCATATTCTTGAGGACCATGTCAACCCATCTTTTGAACACCTCCAGGGATGGTGCCTAAACCACTTCCCTGGGCAGCCCATTCCAAACCCTTTCCGTGAAGAAATGTTTCCTAATATCCAATCTAAACCTCCCCTGGTGCAACTTGAGGCCATTTCTCCTTGTCCTGTCTCCTGTGACTTGGGAGACAAGACCGACCCCCCCTTCTCTACACCCCCCCTTCAGGTAGTTATAGAGCACGATAAGGTCTCCCCTCAGCCTCCTCTTCTTCCCACGTCCAGGCCTGGGGTGAGAGCTGGACCCTCCTGCGGAACATGATGTGATGGGGATGACCCCCCAGGCAGAAACAGGCCCAGCGTGGTGTCCCCTTGTCCCCTCCACAGCTCTCCAGAGGCAACGGGATGGAATAACGTTGCAAAGCTCCCACCAGGAGGGCCAGAGGGGATCTGCGTGGGCATCCCCCTGCAGACTGATGGGTACTAAATACAAATCCATGGGTATAGAATCACAGAATGGTTCGGGTTGGAAGGGACCTCAAAGATCATCGAGTTCCAACCCCCCTGCTGTGTGTCCCCCCCCAGGGCCCCACACACACTGTCACATCCCCACAGGAACCCCATCATGATCCCCCAGAGCTCCCTACATATCCCCACAGTCATATCCCCCCAGGGACCCCCACATGTCCCCAACACAATGTCACATCCCCCATGGGGACCCTGCCACATCCTCTCGGGGACCCCCATTTGTCCCCAGCCCCACAGGGACCCCATCATATCCACTTAGGGATCCACACATGATCCCACACACTGTCACTTCCCCCCCAGGGACCCCATAATGTCCCCCAAGGCTCCCCACATGTTCCCTGCATAGTGTCATATCCTCCCGGGGACCCTTATCACATCCCCCCAGGGACCCCATCACGTCCCCCCAGGGCTCCCCACACACTGTCACATCCCCCCAGGGACCCCATCACACCTCTGTAGGGACCCCGACATGTCCCCACACACTGTCACATCCCCCCAGGGACCCTCATCATGTCCCCCCAGGGCTCCCCACACACTGTCATATCCCCATAGGGACCCCCACATGTCCCCAACACAGTGTCACATCCCCCACAGGGACCCTGCCACATCCTCTCGGGGACCCCCACTTGTCCCCAATCCCCACAGGGACCCCATCACGTTCCCCCAGGGCTCCCCACACACTGTCACATCCCCCCAGGGACCCCATCACACCTCTGTAGGGACCCCGACATGTCCCCACACACTGTCACATCCCCCCAGGGACCCCGGCCGAGGTCAGCGCTGTCGCATCCCACGGGACACGGAGCCCCGTGTCCCGTCCCGTGTCCCCGTCAACCCCCCCCCATCAACCCCCAAAGATTGAAGCTTCTGGCTCCCAAATACTCTGGGATGGGAGGGAATGGATCTCTGCCCCACTCCTGCCCCCCAGCTCCGGGAGAAGACGAGCTGGGGCAGCCCCTGCACAGAGACCAATGCAAGGGGGGGCTCGGGGAGGGCAAATCCCCCCCACCCCCCCGGGGGTGCCATCCCTGGCCTGTGCTGCCCTCTCGCGGGGGCAGAGCGGCTCTGCAGCGGGGAGGGAAGGGGCCGGCTGGGGAACAGCCCCCCCTTCCCCGCATAAAAAGCCCTTGTGTCAGCTCCAGGCGGAGCAAAGGGCTGGGTGACAGCTGAAGGGCTCTGCCAAAACAAGCTGGGGGGGGTTTGAGGGGAGCTGGGGTGACCACCCATCCACGTCCCCACCACCAGCTCCTCTGCTCCCCCCCACAGGGATTGAGCTGGGGAGGGTCCCTGCAGCCCAGCACCCCTCCCAGTCTCCCCAGTGTAAGGCACTGGGGAGCCAGGGGAGTGTTTTCTAGGCACAAAAAGCCCCCATTTACCAGGCTCCACGCTCTTACCACCCATCCACGTCCCCACCACCAGCTCCTCTGCTCCCCCCCACCCGAAGGGCTGAAGCAAGGCGAGTTTCAACACCCCACTCTCCTCCACGGCTGGAACCCAAAAACCGGGCTGCGGGACCCCCTGAAGGGAGAGGAGCAGGAACACGCCGGGTTGCAGCAGGGCCAGCAGCAGCTGTGGGGCTGCAGGGACCTTGGTGATCTCCGACAGCCCCTGCTCCACACAGACCGTTCTGCTCCCAGGTCCTCCAAGAACCCATTTCCCCTCCAATAAAGCTTGAGCACAGACTGGTCCTAACACTGGTCGAAGCTCTGATCGTTTCTGTGAGCCCCAGGCACCGGTACCGCGTTTTCCTTGCCAAGAACAGCAACGTCCTCTCTGCTTTGATGCCAGGAATCCTAGAATCGTCTGGGTTGGAAAGGACCTTTCACAACGCTGGTCCAAGCTCTGATCCTTTCTGTGAGCCCCAGGCACCGGTACTGCTTTTTCCTTGCCAAGAACAGCAATGTCCTCCCTGCTTTGATGCCAGGAATCATAGAATCGTCTGGGTTGGAAAGGACCTTTCAGATCATCAAGTCCAGCTGTCAACCCAACACGACAAAAGTCATCACTAAACCACATCTCTAACACCATGTCTGCCTTTTAAATACCTCCAGGGATGGTGCCTCAACCCTTTCCCTTGGGGTTCCTTGCTGCCATGGAAAGGAAGGACCCTACCAAAAAACACTCTCTTTTGAGTGTTTTTTTCTATACCTCCTCCCTCGGCCCCCTTTACTAGCCCCTCTGCTAGCCAGGCTCTGGTCTCACCCCACACAGCTGCTTTTCCACCATGTTAAAACTCATTTTCCAGTCTAATCCCTGAGCTGGGGCAGGCTCCAAGTTGTTATTGATGGTCTCCAAAGCTGTGGCCCAGCTGTGCCATGGGCCTTGCCCTGGGAGGCAGAGATGAGCCCACAGTCCCAGGAGCGAGCCAAAAGCTCAGGGACACTGACACCCAGTGCTGACCGGGACAGAGCAGCTGGGAAGAGACACAGCCTTGGGTCTGAACAAAGCAGGAGAGACATCCTGAAATTCTCCTCCAGCCTTGGTGTGCCTTCCTGGCACAGCTGGGACACAGCTGGACCAGCTGCTCCTCCTCCAGCTGCCCTCCTCTTCCTCCAGCTGCACAGATGACCCCTTTGGTGGCAGCCCTGGTTCCAGGCCCTGCTGTGGAAGGAGAGGAGTCACAGCCATCACCTGGAGGTGGGAGCCACCGCCTCTCAAACCAGAAGGGACACAGAGTGATTATTCCCTTTGGAACACATTTCCAACCCGCTCCACCTCAATTTACACCTCTCCACAAACAGCCCCACAGAGGAGTCTTGACGTGCCTCGAAACAGAGGTGAGATTCTGCAATTAGAATTCGTTAGTTTAATCCCAAACCAGTCTCAAAACACGTAACCGTGTCCTGTTGGCTCCCTGGTAACAATTGAAGGAATCAGTCTGCCGTCCTCCCTGCTGGAATAAAAGTATTGGGTTGCAATTGTCACACAAAAAACCCAGGAAGACAGGTAAGGTAGATAAATCAGAGGAATAACAATAAATCAAGCCCAGATTGCCAGGCCTCGGTGGTACTGAGGGAGGTACTGGCAGCGCCTGCAAATCAAGAAGAACAATGGGAGACACAGAAAATCACCTCTTGAGAATGGAAAGCAGAGGGAGATACATTATAAAAGCATTTCCTCGATGGCCCTACGCTGCTTCCAGCCACCACGATTCATACCCGGCTCTGGAATCGAGTCATCTTAAATGCCAAGCACCAACGTGCCCGGAGCAGGGGCTCATTTGCTAATTGTGGCTGCCTGATTGCATGGAGCTAGAGAGCATCTCGCTGAGGACGTGAGCAGGGCACGGGGAGAGACCTGAAGAGCAGCTGGAGAGGAGAACAAACATTTGGTTTTATAGGTGGACTAAGAAAAATGATTAATTGGTGTTTGGGAAGGAAGGACAGAGGTTTATGCAGAAATCAGCAAACTCGCTGCCCACTGCCACGTACCCATTTACTCTTCCTGGTGTTTCATTCTTCAATATATCAATACAAGTATTTCAGAAGCCTCCAGGCTCTCCTTCAGCTTATTTACAGAGCTCAATAACCAAATATAAAAGGTTGTTTTGTTTCTTTTTTTTCCCCCCACTTTCCCAATCCCTATTCCACCACACGTCAAATCCATCAAGGAGAAGGAACAGGCAAAAGCACACACTGTGGTCTGGTGACAAAGCCACTAACACAGACCTTCTCCCAAAGCCACCACAGCCCCAGCAGCCTCCACAACACCCCCCCAAAGTACAGATGTACTAATCACACAGGAGAAAGAGCTGAAGTCCCCAAAGCCCCCCCCCCCCGTAGCTGTTACCTGGACACCATTTAGCCCAGTGTGGTGCTTTGGAAAGGTACAACTGTAGCTTTTTTTCAGATCATGACATGAAAAAAAAAAAAAATGACCTGCCGACAGGGTAATGCAAAATAATTGATTTTATTTAAAATAAAAAGCAAAACAACAATCATCCAAACAAGACAATTAAGAATATCCCAGCTCTGCTGGATGGGGTGATAAAAGCAGCTATGGGCAGTGGCGGGGCTTGGGGCCGACGGTGTGACTGTCACAGGAAACAGAATGCTCTTTCCTTCCCCCCCTTCGCAAAGAGGGTGCCAAAATCCTCCCAATTAACCCAACACGGGCATTTTGGATTTGATTGAGCCAACACTCTTGCTTCCTGCCCCGTGACGGCTGGGGATTGAGGGAAGAAAAGGGTCTATGTTAATTATGAAAGAGGTTGCTGTCTTTCTTTTAAGCATCTGGAGAGGCTTTAATGTAAGTGAGAAGACAGACTGGAGCCAGCGCACCCGAGCTGGGAAGGGGAAGAGGGTTTTGCCAGAGCTTCCTGGGTGTCACCTGCTCCCAGAGCACTTGTGCAGAGAACAGATGCCGAGATGGGCACAACTGTTGTTTGCATCTACAGTTCTGGCAGGGTATCTATTAGTTCACTGTCATAGCAGACAAGCCTGCACTGGATACCAGACTCAAAAGCACGGCCAGAGCTCACACATCCCTTTGGCCAGAGCAAGGACAGTGACACCGATACACACAGGAGGATGGGGAAGAGCACAGTCCTGGCTCTGAGCTGTCCCTGGGGCACAGAGGGCAGAGCAGCGCTGCTGCGTCGGGGCTGGAGGGAAGGAGGGGCCCGCTGGGTCTGGGTGCCAAACCCCAGCTGCCTGCTACATCAGGGGCTCTACAGTACACAACAGCACAACAAGAGACAGGGATGCCCCAAGAAGATACAGGGACGCCCCGAGAAGCACAAGCCTGGAGAAGCCAGAGCACAAACCCCACTCTCCCCAGCCAGCCTCCCCCACGCTCGGAGCTAGGCACAAGGGGAGCACAGTTTTTAACTCAATTCCCCATTCACCTGGCCTGGGAAGCACCAGCTCCCCCCCTCTTCCTTTAAGGCCAGTGAAGCCGACTCCCTGATGAGAGATATTATTCTAGTCCTATTTTAAAAAAAAAAAAAAAAATCCCAATCTAGCAGGACCTCCTGTTTTAGAGCAGGCCATGACACGCCAACAGTTAAAGTCTGGTGAAAACAAAATGCCTTGTTCTGCTACAATTTATGTACCACACAGCAATTCTGGAAGGGCCACTGAAGACCACCACGTGGCCACGAATGTTCAACAACATCCCCAAAGTTTTCTGCTTCGAAAAAGCTAAAGCCAGGTTGGGAAGTCTGGGGTAGCTCAGGGTGCCTGGAACACTTTTTGTGGGAGGATGACTTCAAAGCATCTTACACAGTAAATAGATCTCAGCCTCACAACACCCCTGTGAGGTAGGTATTTTCCTCAGGTACTAAAACAAAGACAGAAGCCCAGCAGTTCTGCCGAGGCAAGAGCCTGTGAGCGGAAGAACCGGAGATCCCAGGAGTCCCGATTCCCAGGTAGCCTGAACAGACACCCCTTTGTTTCACATCCAAAAGTGCCTTGTGGAGAAGTCAGCACAGCATCGCTGGTATCACCATGTCTGCAGTCCGTGCCAAACACACTGCTTTTCTGCGAGGGATGGTGAATGCACACAGGCTTCAATCTGAAACTGGTTTTATTTCACCCCATGGAAGAGTTCATAGGCACGGAAGATACTCTGCACTTTAGATCTTCCAACTGTGCTTCTGGTGGTAGAGGTGTGGTTTTCCCCATCACAGCGATCAGGCTTTCAGGCAGATGGAAGATTTTTAAGAATGTAAAACCAAACCCTGTAGGCAAAATGCAATTGCAAGCTACAGCATAAGCCATCTTGCTACACATACTGAGTGAAGCCACCAAAGAGGGCAGTGGACACTTCTTTAAGGGCTCCCCTCTGTGACAGAGCTGAGACTTCTGAGCCTTCTCCTCTCCAGGCACCCACACTCCTCCAAAAGGCTGCCCTGCAGCCCGCTCTGTCTGAGAAGACACACGGATTGTGCAGGCTCCCAGGCTCTTCAACTGGGCAGGAAAAAAAGGCAACCTTGGCCAGAAATGCCAGGAGTTTGAGAAGTTTTTTTAAAAATGAAGTAATCTTGTGGAAGAATATGCAGCACTCTACGGAGCAAGCAGTGCTCACTTATCACAGGAAATTCAGGAACCCAGACAGCTAAGGAGTGTACCTATAAACCTTCCCTCTCTCCTTTTTTTCACCACCACACTGCTCCTACACAAAGGGACTGGCACGAAGATTCAGAAACAGAGATCAGAAACAGAGATCCCGACAAACATACTCAGGATTCCTTGGTACAACAGGATATGGCCTGGTCTCCAACTAGGGAGAGAGTGTTTAAGTAGGAAGAGACAAGGTTAAAAAAAAGATAATAAAACCTAGACAAACAGCATTCTGGGTTCCATCAAATCCAAAGTCACAGTTAAGGCTGCCAATCTGCTTTTTAATTCCACCACGAGTGCCTGGGCGCTATTGCATGTTTACTACAGACATAACCACCTCCTCCTTCAAGCTTCCTCTCCCAAAGAATGGCTGAAGCGAGATCAAATACCCACCTCCTACATCCCAGGAGAGCACCCAAGGAAGCACCACAACCCAGCCAGCTTCTGGCTGTGCTGCTCAGACAGAGAAGGAGGATCATTTCCTTGCGACACACCTTCAGCCAGACAGGCCTCTTCACTGACACCACCAGCACAAGCCCCTGCTAAAAAAAAAAAAAACACCCCAGCAGCTCCAACAGATCCCTTGGGGATGAGAGCTTTACCCGGCGTAATACAAATGCATCTACACAGACTTAAGCGACACACTGCATTTTTAAAAAGCATAAAACAACAATATGTCCCCCTCCCAGTCCTTTAAAATTGGCACCTCAAGTTCCGGAAACATCTGAACCCATAACATTAAAGAAAAGCCATTTAGGTACGTGAACTGCACTGGCCTGAAGGAGCCCACAGCCCTGTGACTGCTGGCTATTTAAAGCCCAGCAACTGTTGTTATCGGTCGTTGCCTCGTGCTAAACATCACGCCTGCACCTAAAAGACTGTTATTACTGACAAATGCTGACTTTTCCCCCCAGTTTTTCCTATGCAAGAAACTCCAGGATTCTCCTGCTCCACTGAGCTTCCAATCACAAGGTGCTTGTGCATCTTTGTTACCAGTCATCATCACAGACGCAGAGCTAAAAGTAAAGGGGCTGCTGCTGGTTAAGGTGTTGCACCGTAGATGTATGCGCGTAGATTAAGACCACAAAAGATGCTTCAGGTTGGTGGTCCCCTCTGCTGAAGTCTCTTCAGTGTTTGGAGCATTCATACCACCTTCCCTTCCTGAAATTCTGGTGCGAGATCCGCCGGACATTCGGATAGGCCAAAAAGGGCTGGTGTTCCTTTCCTCAAGTGTACAGGACAACATGTAAACATATGACAGTGTCAAAGCAAAGCAGGTTTTTAAGCTTTACCTGCTGGTTTTAAAAAGAGTTCTTTAAAAACTGACCGTCGTCTTCCTTACCAGTTACGTGAACCATTAAATACTTGGCATGTCCTTACCCAAAGCTGGGTTATTAGTGCACTCACTCGGGGCGCAGAGGGGACAAAGCATTGCACTAAAATGTAGAGTCGGGGCGTTCCCCTACAAGTTATTAAAAGAGCCAACCTTCGACAGCACGTAATGAAGACAGATGTCTGGGTCGAGGAAGAGTGACAAAAACATAAGGACTGTGAGAAACAGAAGCAGGAGGGGGTAGAACAGAGCTGGCTGGCTGCTAACGGAGCTTTGATCGGCAGCTGCCTCTGGGCGGGTGGTGGTATCTCTCAGGGGTAGCTGCGGCCTCCACAAGATTCCCTAATCCTGTCCAAAAAAAAAAATAATAATAACTATAGCACTTCCCCTCATATCAGGGCAAAAAAACCCAATAAATTCCCAGCATGCAGGTTAGTCATATGCTTATTCTTCCTACAGAACTGTACAAGCTAGAGAAGTTTTTATGTTTGGAACAGTTTCTATCAACTACTCCATCACCCTGCTGGAGCAGAAATCCTACCCGTCCTCACAGAGCAAAACAATCAACATACAGGAGGAAGAACAGTGACACCTGGAAAACCACTGTTCTAGGCAATGTCCCAGTTTTTAATATTTAAGGTATTTATTTCAAAGTTTGCAGTGCAAACAACTTAACAATGCACAGGATTTTCAGAAGAGCAGACCTGCACACGTGCTCTGCAATGTTACAGCTCTTTTTTTTTTTTCCCTTTTTAAAAACAGAGTCTGCATTAAGGTTAGTTATCTCTGCTGCTCATTCCCTGCATGAAGTCACAACTGACTGCTGAAATGGGATTTGACAACGTCACAACAAATTGTTAAAACCTCCAAGGCAAAATAAGCAGTCAGTACAGTTCTCTCCAACTGTTTAATGATGCTCTGTACTTGTAATTCAATTGCATTCAGTTATGACCAACTCCTGAAAACAAGAGAGCAGTGCATCACAGCAAGATAACTAGCAACACCTGCAGGAGCACACGGGTCCACAGGCAGCACCCTACACTGGGAAGCCTGGCACAATACCAGGAATCCAGACTTCCCAAGGGAAATTACTATTGTACACCTTCCTGCAGTACACTCCCAAATTCCCAGTGTTTCTCTATTTTTAACCTGGCAAGTCCAGAGAATTTCCCTCCTCTGCAACGTTATCCTAAGCAGTATCTTTTCTTAGCTCTGCAATATTCATGTTCCCTCCCTCAACTGACTAGAGACCTGGCTTCTGTTTGTTTGTTTTTAATAGATAAACACAAGACATTTGGAACTTGGGATGAATTTTGCTTTTAACAGATAAAAGAATGGGCCAAACTGAAGCAATCCAGGCAACAAAAAGAGAAACTGACTTGGGATGAATTTTGCTTTTAACAGCCAAATTGAAGCAATCCAGGCAACAAAAAGAGAAACTGCACTACTACTTGAAGGTTTTCTGTTTGGGTAACAAGGCATCAAAACCTGAGTCTTGCCTGATTCTTCCTCATCTTTAATTGCTTACTATTCATTTGTGCTCTCTGGACAGCATGGTTAAAATATCCCACCTCTCCCATTACAGCAAATAAAATACTTTCTCTATTAGAAGAGACAACTGTAATAAAGTAATAAAAGTAATAAAACTGTATTTAATAAAGTAAACCACCTCATTTTTGATAAAATACTTTATTAGAAGAGACAACTAGGAAAAGTAATAAAATTGTATTTAATAAAGTAAACCACCTCATTTTTAAAAAAATACCAAGAATCTCAGTTTTCAGTTTGAAGCAATTAAAATAATTCATGGAGGAAAAGTATCACCTTACAGCTATCATTCTGTAAGGGACCCCTTGCTCTCCATCCCTCTGTCCTGATGGATCCCCATATCTTAACTCTGCCAGCTCTGCCTTGTCTTTTGCTCGTTTAAAAAGTGACAGTTGCCATGGGGTCACCTGGAGGAGCTGCGCTCTTTGCTCACGCAGTCGTCCTGGGACGTTGTATCCCCGTTGCCCATCATGCTGCACGTTCTCCGCTTTTTCCTCCGGTGCATCATCCCCTCTGTCTCGGAGCCAGAGTCGCACTGAAGCAGGGAGAAATGAAACCAAAATTCAGAGAAACCTTCTCAAGAGTTTGTGCTGTGCAGTTTACCGTAAGAGCCACCTCAGCAATTCTGAATAATCAATATTCAAAGAACACGCTATTCTAGATTAGATACATGAAATACATTTTAAATTAAGTTTTTAAAAAACAGGAATAGGTATGTTCTTAGATGTCATCACTGAATAAGCTGGCTTGGTGCAAGATAATTGATGCATTCGTTTTGGCTCCTAAAAGGACCTAATTTTCCCTGGGAGCAGACTCAGTGCTTCCTGAAGCACTCAGCCTAGAAAAGTCCCCTGCATAACTGACAGTCTCAGGTTTGGATCTTGTTCCCCCTCCCCATTTTAAAAAAACATCCATTTTGCAGCCATTTTACACAAGCATGGCTTAGCTGAGTGACAGATCTATGTACAATAGAAACATAAATCAAACAAACCAAATTCCTTTAGAAATGCAGAGGCTTCAGCAAACAGAACCTGCTCAGACCACAGGCTCCTCCTCCACCATGTAGATTTGTTTAGTTACTTTCTTTTAATTTCTTCCAGAAGACATGAATATTAGGATGACGACACATGATCAGGTACAGAAAAAGCAATGTAATTGTAGGATATGGATCACCTACTGGAGTAAAAAGCTTTACCTCTGAATCAGAGTCTGAGGAGCTGGAACTTGAGGAACTGGAAGAATCGCTGGAACTATCGGAAGCAATGCCAGTAGATTCCTGCAGGTCCACTGAATCAGCCAAGGCTGCCAGGTCAGGGTGTTCCTGCTTTAGGATCCTAAATAGAGTTGAAATTTCAGGGTTAGCCTTTTCAACAGTGACACTGCACATCAACGAATAGAGTATTTTGGGGTTTTGTTTTAAATAGAGAATATGAAAAAAAAAGCTACTAAATCTCTTACCTGTACCATTTCCGTGACAATTTGGGTCTCCCTCTGACTGTCTTGTGCCACACCACGGGGAAGTTGGTACAGCTGGCAAAGTTTTGCGTGATGGCAATAGTTGTGTCAAGATTGAGAACTACGTGCCACCAGCCACCTACAAATACACCACCAGTGAGCATTTCTGGCTACACAGCAGAAAGCAGCAAGTTCAAGAACAGCCGTGAACAACTTTTATTTTTTCCCCCCCATAGCACAGGTGGAAATTGGACCTTATCTCCCAAACCCAGGTGAGTTTGCCACAATATCATCTTTCAGGGTTCGCTTCAACGCTTTACAGATTCCCGTTACAGAAGGCTGCTCAATGCTCTGACCAAATTATCCAGCTCATGAACAGCAGTGAAGATCTGACTTGACAGCAACACACTACCTACTGACAGCTTATTTAATAGCAAGAGCTATTGTGACCCCGGCAGCAGAGAGACCCTCTCTGTGGAGCTGGAGAGCGCTTTCCACGCTGATTTAGTAAGGTTCTTATGACTACAGACTAACCTTTCATTTAAAAATAGACGCAAAATTGTTTCCCCACACAGGACAAAAATAGACAGTGATGTTCTTGCAACCCACTTACAACCTCATAAAAAGACTCAGGAAACAGTTTAACGGAACCCGACAGCTACAAAATCTTATCAGAAGGTACACTGAGGAGTCACTAGTAAGCACCAAGACAATCACAAGGCACTCTTCAAACACAAAGTCAGCTGTGTGTCAGAGACAAGCAATGTGGATAGAAACCATGGGCCACGGTGCACAAAAACAACACAAAATTTAGAGGTTAGAATTTGGCACTGAATTCACCTGCTTTATCCACTCACTGGCCACTCCACCTCCTAGCTTAACAGACACACAGCGTGCAGCCACTCCAAGAGAACAGCATCTTTATCAGATCTTTCTTTAGCTTTTGATTTCAAATGCAAGAGGGTTATTAAGAGGTTATTAAGCATAACCAGAGAGGTGGATGGAAAGTGTCAGTGCCTTTAAGTAAATGTCCAGTTTTGGGCCCCTTACCACAAAAAAAATTTCCTATGATTCTAAGTAGTTCTTTTCCCACAGCAAAGAAAAATTCACACAGTCAGACTACCCAGGCTACAAAATTCAGTCATGAATTTGCTACTCGAACATTTTTCTTTAAGAGTTACTAGTACTCAAACACTTCTATTATTTTAGGCCTTAACAGTTTTCTATTACTGCAATTTAGGTCAGGACCACATTCCTGTGAGGATGCAACTCAGGTCCCACTTGTATTGTCATCTGTACCACACCCAGCCCTATGCTACAGGCCATATAGGTTTCAGGACATTCAGAAAATAGTCTCAAAATGTGCCCTTGCAGTGTATATCCCTCCTGAAACAGCTCAGAATAGTTTATTTCTTAAGAGATGAGCTGTATAAGAAAGGTGAAATATTCTCTTCATCTCCACTATACGCAAATGTTAAAAATACACTTTTTTTCTCCCAGATTTCCTTACTGGAGAGATTTGTACATACCTGGCACAAAGACCGTCTCGCCTGGTTTCTGTAAGATTTCCAGGGGTTTGAATTCAGGGGGCCAGGTAGGGAGCTGTGTCCTGGGATAGATGACGTTGAACCAAGTGATAGCTTCATCCTGCTGGTTCCCTCCCTCTTCTCGTGTCACTTTGATCAGCTCTCTGGGAGTGCTGGTAGGGAACAGGCACCAACGCTTATGTCCCTGGACTAAGGCATTCCAGGCACTAGTTCCCAAGGGATCGATGTGAATTCCCGTTCCAGAACGAGGTGGGCCCATCACAAACCACCTGCATGGGAGGAAAAAAAAATAAATAATCCTTTAGTCATAGAGCAAGCAAGTAGGTACGTTGTCTTTTCTTCACACTAGACAGAAAATTACAGCTGTTAACTTCACATACAGTTAGATATCAAGGTAGCTATTAGATTGTTAGGTTCACATTGCAGCAAAAGATGTGACATGAGTTTGACCTAAAAACCAACATGAATCGGGACAGGAACAACTCTGGGACAAGAAAGCAAAGGTAGCTTTTTAAAACAAAATACAGCTACGGAATATAAGCAGCTCTTCAATAAAAAAATATACTTATTTCAAGGTTTAGGAATATGATTTATGTCATAACAGCCTTCATTAGGATTCTTACTATCCAGGAGGATTCTACGTCATAGCAGCCTGCATTAGGATTCTTACTATCCAGGAGGATTCTCCTGATCCTGTGTTTTTCTAAAATTCTCTAGTTATAAGTGGATCCAGAGCTGCAGAACAACAAGGCACAAACAAAAGGCAACACAAGTAAGGACCAGAGCAAAGTTATGCAACCCCTGGCCTCCCTCTAAGCCTTCTGCTCATTTACAACAGGCTTTTCATTCCAACATTTAACTAGATGGAGCTTACTCTCCAGTGACCATTCAGGATTTGGTGTGTATATTCTCATTCCCCGTTTGCAAGGTTTATTTGTCCCTATGGAGAACTTTATCTGCCATACATGTTTAACAGCAATAGCACCTTCAATTGCTCATTTCCCCTGTAAGAGAACAGTATCTACCATACCAAATAAAGCAGTGTAAGTGAGGCAACAGGTGTCAAGAAGGAAAGAAACATCAATAGTAGTTTAATGGGCAGCAGAGAGGGTAGAAAGTAAAGGACCAACAAGACGCCTCCCTCGTGGCTGACAGGCAGGTGACACTCAGCAAGACAAGTTCAAAGGTTCAGAAAATATCAGAAGTCCTGAGGACTTGAGGGTGTTGGCTGACCAGAAGCTCAACAGGAAACAGCAATGTGTGGTCACAGCCCAGAAAGCCAACAGCATCCTGGGCTGCATCCCCAGCAGTGTGGCCAGCAGGGCAAGGGGGAGGATTCTGCCCCTCTACTCTGGTGAGCCTCCAGCTCTGGGGCCACCAACATCAGGATATGGACCTGCTCCAACAGGTCCAGAGGAGGCCATGGAGATGCTGCAAAGGCTGAAGCACCTCTGCCTTGAGGACAGGCTGAGAGTTGAAATTGTTTGCCCTGGTTAAGAAAAGGCTCCAGGGAGACCTTAGAGCCCCTTTCAGTCCCCAAAGCAGCTCCAGGAAAGCTGCGGAGAGACTCTTGATCAGGGAGGGGAGCGATAGGACAAGGGGGAACAGCCTTAAACAAACCCACATTTTCCAGAACAAAGTATGAGAATTGTGAATAGCAAGAAAGAAAGGAGCTCAGCATGTGCCTGTAGGTGGGGAGGGTGTGGGGGAAAGAGATCAATATCAGTGAGTCACAATCAAATTATCTAGTTTACCTCTAATTTGGATAAATGATTCCTAGTTCTGTAAGTGTATGCAGCTTCTACCAGAGACTACACCTAGTGTGCTTTTGCATTTGGTCACAGCATTGTATGTTCTTAAACGTGAATTATAAAAAAAGATCTGTTACAACACTGTAAAAACACCTGCTTCATTGATCTAAAATAGAATTAGTTTCATGCTTCACTCCTGCAAAAGCATAACTGGACTATAGACACGTGAAAGACTGTAGAGAAGAGTTCCATAATTCATTCCTTGTTCTACTTCATTAAAAAGAAAACAAGAAACAATAAAAAACCCACATCACAGCCTTGTGTCACTCAAAGTGCAAGGCTTTCTCAGACAATTATAACGTGGCTGTAAAGACTTTAATTACTTGGGAGCGTTCAGCTTATGCTCATACTGCTATGAAACGTTGTATTAATGTAGATAGAAACACCTTTTGTATTTAACAGCCCAAACACAAGGTTGTTATATTTGATTTCAGGAAAAAAAAGTGTAAGTTCAGTAATTTTTCAATCACATGCAAAAAAAAGGTTGAAAAGACTACATAGATGTGAAATATCGTTCTCTCTCAAAATCATCTGAAGGCAAGTCAAGAGCTAGTCTCCACACTTCATACTAATCTAGCTTAAGATCTTTACCTTAAAAGGACTGACTCATAATTAAACAAAATCCCACTATGTACATAAGCCACTGGTGCAAAACCCAGGAGCTAGTCCTAAGGGACTTAATTTTAGAAGCCAGAAGGCACACACGGCAGGAAGTTAAAAAAAAAGTTACATAGTTATTGAAAATTACAAAGATTAAGTTTGAGAAGTGAAATAAACCACTTAAAAACCCCAACCAACACAAACTCAAAGCAACGCTGGTGGCAGAACCAGAAATTGTGACACACCAATCTGCCCTTCCCTCCCTCTGGGTTACGGATGTATGCTCATTTCAAAACAGATGTAAAGTTATTGCTTTGTTTTAAAGAAGACTATCACAGTTATTTAGGAATAGCTAATGAGACTGAAAATATCTTTTTATCTTGTTGTCACCATACTATACCTGTATGGTGGCCTTCGTTTCTCCCCTGCATACTGAAACAGATCATCAGTGAAGAATTTGGGTACTTTGTAGTCCTCCAGGAGTTTCCTACGCTTGGGATGCTCTCCATAACTGCTGTCAAAGATGTAGAGCGGGCTGTCATCACGTGTGGTTTCCATATACTCTATGTAGTATTTCATCTTCATCTTCACAGAATAACCGTCATTGTCCTCCCCACATTTGAACTTCTGGTTCCTATACTTGCGTTTCAGTCGTTCCAGAGTCCATTTCTCTTGGGCAGACCAGCCCACCTGAGCATTCAGCAAGACTACAGGCTTGTAAGGTTTTTCGTAACGCTCCACAAATTCCTCCACTGTTAACTGGAGTGCATCTGCCCTCTCCACATTATCCTGCGAAACCCAGAGAGGAATACAGATCAGGTATTAGGACAGAATAACATCCCAGAACCGTGCTTTTTAAGTCGGGGTGGAGGAGCTTCACGCTCATACTTTGGCTCCCTACACCAGGAGGGTGTCAAGCTGCCTACGTGTTATTTTAAGCCTCTCCGAGGCTGCAGTCCTACTTCTCATGCCCCGCTCCTTGTGCGCATCAGCAACACCACCAGCCTGAAGCCGTTAGGACTCCTCCCCACCGAGGTAACTCCCCGGCCGGCGAGGGCCCCCCTGCCCTTTCGGCTGGCACACCTCCTGCTGCATTTCATCCCCCTGGGATAGCGCTTGGGAATTACGTGGGTGCCCATCCCACTCCTGATGGGGCCCTGACTCCCCCGCACCCCTCGCCACGTGGAGGGAAGCACAAACGCGGGTGCCGTTAGGCCTCAACCTCCCCGCCCCGGCATCCCCGGGGAGCCCCGAGACAACCCCACACTCAAGAAAGGCCTCAGGCTTTCCCCAGCACCCACCCCTCCCGGCTCAGGCCTCCCCAGTCCCCTCAGAACCCCCTCAGTCGTTGTGTTGTGTCCCGTCTCTCCCACCGACCCCCTTCCCCTCAGGACCCGAATTCCTCCCCCTGTCCCCCTCAGAACCCCGTTCCCCCTCAGCCTCCCCCATTCCTCTTAGGACTCTATTTTCCCCCACACACACCCCGCTTCCCTCAGAACCCCATTCCCACCCCTCCATTCTCCTCAGGACCCCATTCCGCCCCCTCATTCCCCTCAGGGTCTCCCCCATTCCCCTCAGGGCCCCATTTCTCCCCCACCTCGGTTCCCCTCAGCCTCCTCCCTTTCCCTCAGGGCCCATTCCCCCACTCCGTTCCCTCCAGGTCCCCTCAGCTTCCCCGTTCCCCTCAGCCGAGGCGGGGCCGCACCTTGCAGGCGGCGGGGTTGAGGGGGAAGGTCTCGCAGTAGTTGTGGCGGGTCCAGTCCAGCGAGTCCTTCAGCTCGGGCCGGGCGCTGCGCTTCGCCTCACGGATCCGCTTCTTGCTCTTGTGATTCATGGCGGCGACAGCAGCGGCGTCGGTGGGCAGCCCCGGGCAACCGTCACCACCCGCCGGCGTGGCACAGGCCCCGCTTCCCAACGGCCCCCGCCTGGGCCCGGCCCGACCCGCCGCACCTTCCAGAAATTTCACCCCCTTGCCGCCGCTGTCGCCGCGGCCCCGCCCCCGCCGCTCTCCCATTGGCTCTCCGCACCGCCCTCTTCCGCCACGCGTCGCCCTCTCTCCGCCGCTGATTGGTCGAGGCGGGGAAGCGGCGCGGCCGCCATGTTGAGAAGGAGGGGGTCGCGGGCGCCGGTCGCCCCGGGAACCCCCCGCCGCCTCTCCCCTTCCCTCAGCTCCGCGCCCGCCAATTCCCCGACAGCGGCAAGCCGCCCCTTCGCGCGGGACTGCGCGGTGTGCCCTCACGGGGAGGGAGGCAGGGGGTGAGAGGGGGGCGGCCCGGTTTAACGGCGGCACCGGGGACGGGCCGCCCGGCGCGGCGCCTGACACCGCCCCCGGAGGTACCATGGAGGAACCGGAGGAGGGGCAGCGGCGGGGCGGCGTGAGGCGGTACCGCTTCGTGGAGGGGCCGGCGGCGCTGGCGCTGCGTATCCCCGAGGTACCTCCCGGTGGGGACAAGGCGGGAAGGGGGTACGGAGCGGCGGAGGAGCGGGACCCGCCTTCCCATCGCCGCGGCCGGTGTGTTTCAGGAGCTGGACTCGCAGTACGGGACCTACGTGTGGCCCTGCGCCGTGGTGCTGGCCCAGTACCTCTGGATGCACCGGAGGAGCCTCCCCGGGAAGCGGGTGCTGGAGGTACCGCGACAGGGCACCCCCCCTCCCCGCCCCGCCCCCTCTCTCCGGTCACCGGGGAAGGGTCGGTTGATGGCGTTGCGGTTTTCAGGTCGGCGCCGGGGTGAGCTTGCCCGGAGTGGTGGCTGCCAAGTGCGGAGCCCAGGTGGTCCTGTCGGACGGCGAGGAGCTGCCCCGCTGCCTGCGGAGCTGCCGCAGGAGCTGCCTGGCCAACCGGCTGCACCACGTCCCGGTGCTAGGCCTCACCTGGGGACGGGTGTCACCGGAGCTGCTGGCTCTACCTCCTGTAGATATTATTTTAGGATCGGATGTCTTTTTTGACCCGAAAGGTAGGTTAACGCTGTGGGTTCGTGTCCCAAGGAGGGCTCTGAGGTGACACTCCCCGCAGTGACACTGCCCAACGCCTCAGTCTTGGGGCAAGTCTAGCATTAAGCAATTAAATACCACCGGAGGGTGAGAGAGGAGAAAACAGTAATTAACTGCTTAAGGCCATCCTTCTCAGGTCTCTCATACAGCCACAGTTAGTCTGGTATTGATTTTTAATCAGCATTTTATATAACCAGGCATTTTTAACTGTTCCTAGAAGCCACAGACTAACCAAGACTGCTTCATCTCCCCCAACTGCACAGACTTTGAAGATATTTTAACTACAGTTTACTTCTTGCTGGAAAAGAATCCACATGCTCAATTCTGGACTACTTATCAAGTCCGAAGGTAAATCCTTCAGGGTATTTAAGATTCAACTCTTAATTCCTGCCTCTGTCTCAGCTGTTATTAAAGCATTAATTCCCCAGAGGGACCACCACACCGATCCCAGAGAAGCTCCATGCTTCCACCTGAATGGGGCTGGTTTTAGCCAAGTAAATCCTAATGGGAGCAGATAAAAAAAAAGCAGCCAAACCAGAAAATAATCCAAGAACGACAAATTTACCATTGCCTAGAAAACTGTTCTAAAAACTCCATTTTGGGAACTTCTGTAATCACTGCAGAAGTTACCAACTGGGATTCCGTTTCACACAGCGGTGTTTCCTCCCCCAGTGCTGACTGGTCTCTGGAAGCTTTGCTCTGCAAGTGGAAGCTGAAGAGCATCCTGGTTCCCCTGCACTCCTTCGGAGCAGACCAAGAGCATTTGGCCAGCTCTTCTCTCCCAGGAAGACACACGATCGAAATGATGATCATCTCACTAGCACAATCAGATGGTACTTAATTTTTTTTTTATTCCACTTGTTGGTTTCCAATACAAGATGACACTTTCACTGTAGCATGGATCTGTAAACAGTCCTGTTTACAGCAAACCTCATGCGTGTGTTTTTAGGAAGCAGATCCCTCCAACAGTAATTCTTAAAACATGCACTGTAAAAATAAAGCTGTTCAGTTCTTTAGCTATGGCTTTTGAGAAATTTGTGCTCCTCCCCAAAGACCATGTAATAGTTAAAAGACTCAATTCTGTTTTTGTAAGCCACTACACAACAGAGCTTAACAACCTGACAATCCACAAGATCCAACTTAAATTCTCTACTTTTGCTATGAAAAGAAGTTAACTGCACTCTTTCAAGATAAAAAATATCCCCAATAAGATCTGTTTCCCAGGACCCAAGACTCTTTTTCCCAAAGATGCATATACAAAAGCCAACCCCACTTTGTTTTTCACTGAGAGTGTGCAGACTGCCACTAGCCCCACAGTCCCAGAACATACCAACTCCTCAAGTTTGTAGAAAAGTACTTTTAATCCTCAAAGCCAGACTGCAAGTATTCAGATGTTTCCATTCCCATTTAACATACATGCAGAAAGTTAACAAGGCATTACAATAACCCTTGACACGTGATGGTTGAAGTTACAATTCTTTTGGTATCCAAATCAAGAAAAATAGTATCATCACCGTTAAGATCAGCTACCATCAAGCAGCAGCCTGTTGAGTCAGGGCAAGCACACAGCAAATGCAATTAGTACTGCTCAGTGTGTATCTTCATTAACAATGTCTGATTCCATGTTTATCATCTGGTGTGCAATACTTGCCATACAACATCTGGGTTAGTCACAATACTAGTTAAGTTTGCCCGTAGTAATTTAAAAGCAACCCCAGTGGATAAAAATTTATAAGCAGTAGAATGCATTCGGTTACTATATTGAAGTTAAACATCGACAGTATAATTGCAGAAATCTTTTCAAGCTAAAAATAAGCTGACTCAGACATTAAGTTGAGAAAAGTTAACACAGAAAAATGTTTAATATTAACTACAGAAACAGTGGGTATAGTACAGAATGTCTTAAGCAAAAGATACACCAATCAGTACTTACAAAGGAATGAACCATTTCTTTTCTTAACATTACATTTCTCATATGTAAGTTCATATATGTAGGTTGGTAAGTTTTACCATTCTGGAAAAAATAAGGTGTGTATATCATCAGCTAGATGTGCTCACTGTATGCTCCATTATTTTTACGCAAGGCCCGGGTGACTGGAAGTGCAGTTGTCAGGCATTTTAATTAACTGGACAGCCATTTGTTTCTGCACGACAAGGCATCGTTACACAGGAGCAATCAGGAGAAAACAGGAAACAGCCAAGCACTCTGCACTGCAACACGCCACCTTAACAGCTAACCAGCATTACTCAACTGCTACACAACTGCGCCTAGTGCACAAAAATACATAAGAGAAGAGATTAGAATTGAGTCTGATAAAACAATCCTTTCAAATATCAACTGTCACCTGAAAAGATTTCTACCAATTTAAATTTGAAGATACTATTTGAATTCAAAGTTTTGGTTTTTTTTTAAAAAAAAGCATTTACAGTAAGTTTCAAATTGAAGTTCTGCAGAATTTTATTTAAGGAATGAAGACAAAATTGAGAATACTTTTTGACAGAGTTAGCTACTCAGCATGTAATAGCTGCACATTTCCTCAGTCTGAAACTGGAGGCAGCATGTTACCATCAGTTTAAATTTCAAATAAAAGTCAGCACTATATAAACAAAAATGAAGTTTTACCTCAAATATCCAAGCCAATAATGAAATCGGTAGTCGTTCACTTCACTAAATTACAAGAAATTTGAATAACAGCAACAAAATGGCACATAAAATGTAAAATCTGCCACTTGAGGCGCAACTTAAACAAGTAAAAATTTAGACAAAAATGTTACAAAATAACCTTTTCAACAGCTGGTTGCTCGTGCCAGGGGTCTCTCCAATGGACTGAAGACTCAAGCGATCTTTTCCCCCCAAAGGCGTCCTTTATGTAGGTTCTCATTTATCTGATGCATCTAGGTTTGAAGAAAGAAAAGTTTAGCTAGGTTTCTATCTTGTCTCTTTTGGTTATGTGGATGACTTCAGGTATAACTTCTAGTTGTGCTTCAACTGGCTTTGCCTAATTTAATTAAGTTTTAGGAATTTCCATAGTGTTCCACCTCCCCCCGTGTGTTGCTTTACTTCAGAGGCCAAATGTAAGGTTCTGCCAAAATATTTAGTTACAAAGAAGAATAAGCATCAGGCTGTAGATCAAGCCACCATTAACTTCAATTCAGCCTGTTCAACAGTAAGTTATTAAAAGTTATATAAAAGTTATAAAACTAATACTTCTTCATAAAACTTAACTAAGCTCTAATCAGAATTCAAAACAGAAAGTGTGACTAATTTTGCTACAATTATCTAACTTTAGAGCTAGCTTAGGCCCTTTCCTTTTAAAAATAGGACCAAACAGTTTGAAGGGTTAAAGACACACTATCCTTTCCCCACCCGGTGTATCCTTAGATGCCTCTTCCAAGATGTTGACTTGAGGAAAAACTAGTTTCCATGGTTTTCTCGTTGCAAGGAATTTGCCACTTTTCTAGAACAGTTACCTCCAGTCAGTATAACGGCCACTGAATCGATCTTCCATTATAAAAGGATAGTGTATCTTTAACATTTAAAGACAAACCTGCTCCAATACACGCCCACAGAAACTGGTCCCTGGAGGATCAGCCAAATCAGTTAAAATCTGCAATACTGGCCAATATTCTTTTAGCAAACAGGAGACCGCAGCTTTAAAGGGGAAAATGCAGATGTTGGATAAATACAGTAAGAAATAATCATTTTCATCATAGGTTGCGTCTCATACAATAATTTATAAAAAACCAAGCCATTAATCTCTCAATAAAACATTTTCTCTGTAAAAAAAAAAAATTCTCTGTAGAAAGCCCTTTGGTATTAATTTCCCTAAACCAATAACCGAAAAGCACTGCTCAAGAAAACAAAAAAAAACCAAACCAAAACAAAATAACTAACAATGTGCCCCGTTAGGATTCGCTTGGTTCAGGCTATTAATATGCTAAGAACTACCCAACACCCCACCTAAGTGCTACAATAAATAACATGCAACTTGTGCTGATCCCGAGGTACATTACCATGTTCCTAGGAGGATACAGCTCCTTCTTCTTCCGGAGACTTGGGAGGACTCTTAGACCTGGATCTAGAGTTGGATTCCCTCTTTGATGCAGGAGGAGGGCTTCTAGATCTAGACCGAGATCTTGACCTGGACCGGGATCTGGAGACAGACGAGGACTTTGACTTGGATCTCCTGGCAGACCTGGACTTGGAGGTGGAGCGAGACCGAGAGCGTGTGCGAGACCGGGATTTAGATCGACTGTAACGGGACCGACTACGGGATCTAGAGCGGCTCCTGCTTCTAGATCGGCTGCGACGGCGTCTTCTAGGGCTGAAACGTGCCAGAAGAAGAAAAAAAAAAAATTAAAAAAGCGCGTTAAAAAGTTGAGCATGGGCGGCGCAACAGACTTCGGCAACTACTTGGGGACAGGGAGGGCGGAACGGGACCCACGTGGGCCAGAAACTGAGCGTTAAGCGGGCGCCATTGTTCAGAGTGAGTGGCCGGGGGCTAAAACTACTACGGGGCGAAACCCTTGAGCTCCGAGGGAACTCCACGTGTCTTTGGGACTAAACCTTAACTCCCCGCTCCCAAACTCACTGGGGAAAGGGAACAAAACCGAGCGGTCCCTACTGTACAGGCACATGGTTGAGCCCCGTCTCCCTGGTTTAGCTCCGGGAACTCCGCTGTCCCCCTGCCCCCTTCCAGGCGCTCACCTGCGGCTGCGGCGGCCGTAGCCACTGCTCCCGTAGCGGCGGGGAGGCGGGCCCCGCCGGCTGTGGTGCGAGTCGGGGGGTCGGCCGTAGCGAGCCATCTGGACACGGAGCTCCCGGCCATCCAGCACGGCCCCGTCCATGGCGTCCATCGCGTCCTCAGCATCGCGTTTGTCGTGAAAACGGACGAAGGCGAAACCTCGGCTCTCTTTAGTGTAGCGGTCTCGGGGGATGTAGACGTCTCCTACTCGGCCGTATTTCTCGAAGACCCTCCGGAGCGTGTCCGGGGACGTACGGTAGGTCAGGTTGTCCACCTTGAGGGACGTCATGCCCTCCACGTCCGGCGGAGGGCGCCCGTAGCTCATGGTGGGCAACAGCCCCCGAGGGGCGGCGGTGAATGAGGAGAAGAAACCTGAGGGAAGGGTTGGGGGGGGGGGGGGGGGCGGCGCGGCCCTGAGGAGGGAAGCGCCTCACACCGGAGGGGGAGCGCCGGAGCGGCGGCCCAGTAGAGTCCAGAAAGGCGGGGAGCTGGAGGGCATAGGGGAAGGCCGCGGGGTCCTCAGCGGGAAGGGAAGAGCAGGCACCCACCTCTGGGGTCCGGGGGCGAGGCGGCCTAAGGCCGGAGCGGAGACGAAGCGCCGGTTCAATGGCCACCCCCGCCCGCCGCCGCGAGGAAATGAGCGGGGCGCCGCCCGCGCGCGCCTACTTAACGCCACAAAATGGCCGACGGCGACCCGGAAGGGAAAGGGCCTCCCGGCGTGCGCTGCCCCGCCCGCCCCGCGCCAGGCCTCGTTTGTCTTTCGTTCTTTTTTTTTTTTTTTTTTTTTCCACAGGTAACGGCCCCGGAGAGGGCGCGTGGAAAATTGCCTTCTAAATTAATAACTCGCCTGCCGTTGAAAGTGACCGTTAAGGCGGCTCCGCCGTGACCCGGAAAGTCTCGGCGGAGGCGGGGAAATTTTGAACAATGTGCGCCGAAAACGGTAAAAAAAAAAAAAGACAAAAACGGAAATAAGGAGACCTGCCTTTGCTGTGGGGGGAAAGAGGGGCGGGGGATCCCTGCCGAGTAGGAGAAAAAAAGAAAAGGAAAAAAAATAAAAGAAGTGTTAAGGAAGGGGAGCGGCTCCCGCGCGGGCGGGAGGGGACGGTTTAAAATGGCGGCCGCGGAGGGGAGAGCGCTGTGAGGGGAGGCGGGTGCGGGCTCTCGGCTGGGGATGCTGCCAGGGAGTTTCTCTCAGGGCAGCTGCCGCGGGAGCTCTGTGCTCTCCCTGCTTCCGCCACAGCCGGGGCTGTGCTGCGGCTGCTGCCCTGTGTCGTGAGGGGGTACAGCGGGCCGGCGCAGGCTCCCCTCGAGTGTCTGCTGGCAGCGGTGCTTAGGTGAAGCCTCCCCGGGCCCTGCCGCGATGGTGCAGGCTGTGGAGCCGGTGGCAGAGCGGTGTGGGTGCTTCTGGGCTTCTTTCCCGGCTGCGTCGGTGCCTGTGAGGGAGCTGTGGGCCCGGATCCCCCTCTACACACACACAGCGCTCTCTCTGAAAGTTGGGTGCTTTGGCAGCGAGAGGGGTGAAACGGGAACAAGGGTGAGGATTAACACAGCCCTTGTGTAAGGATTAGCACATCCTTGTGTAAGGATGGTAAGCACATTCCCGGAGTTTTCCCTAGGGAATTCAGTGAAAGCTGCTCACCCGTCCCAAAAGTTGTTGCTGCCTGTACTTTCAGGCGCCGAGTAAAATGCCTGAACTTTTGAGTATGAGCTGTAATACTTGGTGCTCCTCTTAAAATGATAAATGTTTCTACTCATCTGTTTTGTAATTCTATGTTAAAAAAAAAGAGTTCTCTACTGATTTGTTCAGCGCAATTATAGTATCAATATGAGAAAGCAAACTCAGAATTTAAATCTGTATTCTTACTGTAATAATGTTTAATTTTTTTTTTTTTTTAAGAAGTATCAAAATAAGCAATGGCATCAATGCAAGCCTAGAAGCAACAGTTTGTTTCCTGCTACAAAAGACTTAAGAAATCAAATAAACTATTACTGCACATTTTGTATTGCTTCATGCTCTGTTGTTCACTGTTTTTCTCCAGAAGATGTTGATGAAAACTTTTCTTACTTGCTGAAACCCTTTCTCTAAGGAGAAATTTGAAGTTTATCTTTGCAAATGATTGCCCTAAAATGAGGAGGAAGTTTCTTGCGTCCCTTATTCACTGGTTTCACAGTCACTTCAAACCAGTACAAGCTGCTGCCACAAGAATGGGTCCAGGACACCAGCCCAGTTTGCTGGGCAGCTGGGTGAAGGCTTATGGTGGCCCAAGGGGAAGAAGGTGTGAGCGGGACACAGTGCCCAGAGGATCTTAAAAATCTGTTGCTATAAATTCAAATTACAGTAAAGGAAGAAGAGAGCTTTGCTTGTGTTGGAAAAACCCACCTTGGTTCTCTAATTGGATCTTTGTAAAGCAGCCTCTGACCGATCGTACCGACTTTCTTCCATGAGTAATAAATAAATATATATTTAGAGGAGTTAAATATGTAACAATAGCTGGTATATGAATTTTATTTAAGTCCTTTACTGTAGATAGCAGAGGTAAAATTTGATTATCTACTTCAGTCAATTCTAGATGTAGATAGCAGAGGTAAAATTTGATTATCTACTTCAGTCAATTCTGTATTTCCTTCCCTTCCTCTTTGGCCATCACTTAAGTGGAGCTGATTTAGCCGAACGCTCCAATCCTGACTGGGAGGCCCAATGGGACAGACACAGGATAATAACAGTAAAAAGCACTTATATTTGGTCGATACAAGATGTGTGATCCTCTTTCAGTTTTTCTGGTGCTCTGACAGAGATCTTCAAAGCCTAAAGATCAATCCATCTGAAATTTGTTATTTGGATATACTGTGAAGTAAAATCTTAAGGGTGTGTAATTACTAAAAATGAATGTTGTGCCTCAAGAAAAAGCAGTGAAAGGTTACAGAGACTTTTCTGAGTCGCTGAGGCAACAGGAGGCAGAAACGCTGAGCAGAGCCTGTGTGTGGCTGGCACTGAGAGACTTGGTTTCTCCCAGGTGGGAATTATTTTCCCTTTGGGATGACTATTTTTGTGTTTGAATCCAGCTAATCAGATAGCTTTCTTAAATGACTTTCTAAGACTTTAAAAATATTTTATTTAATTTTTTATTCAGTATTATTTAGTGGATAGAGATTATAATTCTTAAAAACTTTTTATTTTAAGGATTAGGAAACCTCCACCCTTTCAAGTGGAAAAAAGCATACGTTGCTAAAACTACATTTCCCATAGTGCACAGGGGCTGGCCAGGCCGGGTCAGCTGATCGAGATTGGGAAATGTTCCTTATTTCCTGTCCAACATGTATGGAAACGACTGCTGTGCCCGAATGGCTCATCTTTCCTTCGTCAGGTGATTTTAAAGGCTTTGGACCAGAATTCGGATTTAGCACAATGGCAAGAAACTGAGCGGATGAACTAACTTCGGTATCTGGAAAACTGCTTCGGTTGGGGGAAAGAGATGTCCTGGAGAAGTAACACACGGTGGTCTGCTCTGTGAACTTCATGGGAAAAGGTAGAGAGAAGCTTTTCTACCAGACCTTTATCTTTGGGAGTTTTTTTTGTTTGCTTATTTGTTTTGGGTTTGTTGGTTTGTTGTTTTTTTTTTTTTTTTGTTGGGTTTTTTTTTTGAGTTACTGATTTTGCTGTACATTACATTATTTACAAGTCACCAGATTCTTTATTAGTTGATGATTATGTTCTAGCAGCTAATAAGTAGCTATAAGTACTCCTCATCTCTGAAGCTTTCTTTTACATTTTATTCTTTTTGGCTCTTTGTTTTTAACAGAGGTTAAGAGGAAACTTTTTAAAAGAAACTAGAGTTTTTCCTGCCTGAAGCTGAGGACTTGGCAAGAAAACACAAGATGTCTCCTGATTCAAAAAAACTTTTCAACATAATTATTTTGGGAGTCTCGTTTATGTTTATATTCACTGCTTTCCAGACATGTGGAAATATTGCGGTAGGTGTGGATTTCAAAACATGCCAGTTTTCTGTGACAGTTGTTCATCCTTTCTTGCCTTTAGTGTACTCAAATGTAGGAGTTGCTTTACTTGGGATTTTTTAATGTGCGAGACACCTTGACGTTTTGTCTCCTTTCTTTTGTTTTAGCATTGACTAGATTAAGTTGTTTAACCAGATAATTAAGCAGTTTCTTTCTTTAAGATAGCATTGCTACATGTGTGTCTGATTGCTCAGAAAGTACAAAATTATGAATCTTATCAAATGTATTAATGGACTTTGAAAATAGTGTATGTTTTGGCACTTGAAATATTTAACAATTGAATCACATTGGACCTTCCATATTTCTGATTATTCTTTATAGTCCCTTTCAAAATATTTGCTAAGCTGTTATTAACCATGCTCCTAGTTTTTCCTCGAGTGTCTTTCCTAATCTGGCGTAGTTTTCTGTTCTAACAAGGTAGACATTGAGGGGGAGGACGATGATAACATCTGACAAGTAGTCAGACTTCCACAATTGCTAGAACTGCCAAGTCACCTTCCATCTGGTTAAGTAATTTACTGCTTTAGGATCGTGTATCTCTGCACACTGAAGCAAAATTAGGCATAACATAATTCATATTTACTATTCAAAGGAGATTGTACTCTAACTACTCACATTTCTAGAATCCTGCTGCTGACAGACTTAGCCCAGATCCTCTGAGTTGTTGGTGTTGCTCTCAATATTAGTTATATGCCTGAAGGACAGTTAGATTTCAACATACCTCTGAGAGCCTAAGGTCTTACGGCTTCTCTTTTCTGACTTGCAGGAAGAACCCTTTCTGGGTTCAGACATAGAAATATCCTTCTCTGTGCTATAGAAATAACTGCTTCGGATAGTTTTTGTACAATTCCTTGTGCAGCACGATACAGTACATAAGTACAACCCAGGGATCTTGGAAGTTCTGCAGTGAATTCACAGCACTGAATTGGACCTAGTGATCATGTAGTTTATTGCCATTAAAGTCATTACAAGTGACTTTCAATCAGATTTACTGGCCAGACCAACTGATTACATGGTCTTATGATCACTAAAGCTGATTCAAGGGGAAAAAAAAGGAACAGGGGAAACTGAAAAGAACGGAAACTCTTATCAGAAGCTCCTATTAGGTCAAATTAAGACTATTTTTAGGCTTCTCCTTTTTTCTCTGCTTTTTAAACTAAGATAGTCATACATATCTACCTAACAGAGGTGTTTTGTGAAATATTTTAAGGTCTCTGATGGAAATCATGATATAATCCTGAAGTATTAATTACTGCTTCCAACATAGAAGCTTCCTGGCCAAATATCTCCTTCACCTTCATTCTGGAGGTGTTGCGAGTTGCAATACTTTAAGTCCTTTGTAGAGTCTATTAATGATTACTTCTAACATTTAATACTGACTTTAAGCTGATGCGAGTGTTCTTGGACTACAAGATATGTTCTAACATACGATTTTTCTCCTCGCAGCAAACTGTTATCACCAATTTAAACAACACGGATTTTCATGGTAGTGGCTACACAAGGTAATTTACACAGATCTTCTGATTACTGCGCTTCTTGCAGGGCGAGGCTGGTCATAATTCCATCTCGTAGAGATATACTTCCCAGAGACTGTAGTGTTCTGCTGACTTCAGAATTTAATTACATACTAAGAGCAGTTTAAAACATGGGCTTCTCACATTCACTCTAGTTCTGATTTATTTCTAGTTGAACTACATAGCTCTTGCATTTTTTCTTTGTAGGGAGAAAAAACACCATACAGTCATCACATTCTTAGCATTTTTATCTTAGGAGATGCATAATGTGGAAGTTAAAATAAATAAAACTGCTACCTAAGGCCTTGGTTGTTTGCCCTTGTACCCCTCTGTGTGGTTGTGTAGGTTAGGTGGTGTGGATCAACTTCCAGGAAATCCTGCAATGTAAATGTGAAAGGGGCAGTCAGAAAGAGGAGAAGCAAACAACACGAGAAGCCATTCTGTTTGTTTATTGCACTGGCACAGCCAAACTCGCCAAGCGTGATTTGGGACCTTTTGAATGCCAAATTAAACTGTCATGTAGAAAAACCTGGTCGAAGGGCTCACTGTCTTAATTTAAACTAAAAATACAACTGGCACAAAATATATCTATACAATTTCTGTGGTGTATTTGGCAGAAATGAAAACATCACTGATAGACGAATGAGGCTCCGGAACATTGTCTTCTAGGAGTACTGGGTATAAAATACAGTAACTGTTGTTAAGGCACAGTTTGAGAAATGTGTGCTGTAAATGACGAGCTGTGCTTTCCTCCAATGGTTTGGGACTCTGTTCAGCAATTCAAGAAACACTGCATGCTCCTTTATTGCCATAAGGAGTGCAATGGGTGAGGGTGGGACTCTGTTCAGCAATTTAAGAAACACTGCACACTCCTGTATTGCCATAAGGAGTGCAATGGGTGAGGGTAACAGAAGGAAGGAAGGAAATGTTTGACCATGGAAGTTATGCAGTTACTTAAGTTATGTATGTACTTAACTTGATACTTTGGAATTGAGTGTATATTCTTAAATATTTGCACTTACACCCTATATTTATTTGAAGTATTTAATCGTCTTTGGTGTTTATTTCTGTAGCATGTCCATTATTTATGGAGTATTCTCTGCATCAAATCTCATATCACCTTCAGTGGTTGCGATAGTAGGACCTCAACTCTCCATGTTTGTTAGTGGCATATTTTATAGGTAAGTATTTTAATTTTTGTTTTCTGCTTCCTTTGAAATCTTTCTTTCATTTTTCACACCTAAGGCTACCATACCATACATGAAATTGTTCTGGCTAAGACACGCAGCTGTCTGTATCGGTAGACGTGTAACTGCAGAGTAGTTCAACCTGCCAGAAACAAACTGTATTTTTTCCACAGCATTTCCAGACTTTGCTGACTGTGGAGTTCAGGTTGTGGTCTCAGGTCAATGACTATATATAAAAAACATTCTACATGCTTGGGGGAGTAAAAAGGTTACCTTTTTTCACATATGACCTGAGCTGTTTTCCAATGTCACTTAAGAGAGAGTAGCAGATTTAGAAGCAGCAAACTGAGATTGTTAAAGAGCATTTCCCACTTTAAGTCTATATTCAATAAACTGATCTGTTCTATTCTAGCCTCTACATTGCAGTTTTTATCCAACCTGCCACATGGGCTTTCTACACTGCTTCTGTTTTTATTGGCATTGCAGCTGCTGGTAAGCATTGTTCTTACCCTGTTTACTATTCTTTGCTACACTTGAACATACCTCTAAAATATTTTAATTTCCTGAGCAATATATTCTGTCTGTTTCAGTGCTCTGGACGGCACAGGGAAATTGCTTAACTGTAAATTCTGATGAAAACACCATTGGAAGGAACAGTGGAGTATTTTGGGCACTCTTACAGTCCAGGTAAGTGCTCTTCGTTAATGTATTTTTTGGTAGCATACACATTCTACTTTTTACATTTTTAGATAAGTGGGAAGCTGCATCTAACAATACTCCACTGGTCCCCTGCAGTCAGAGGAGCAGGAGGGAAGGCTGGAAGCGACACTGCTAGTGTGCGTTACAGAACAATGAATTAAAGTTACATATTGCAAGCCTCTGCTCTCAAGATGCTGTTAGGGGCACATTTGACACAGGTAACAGCAATCTTGTTGATTGTGAAGGGCTGTGCTAATTTGTGCCAGGATATCAGTGCACTAATAAGCCTTAATGGCCCTGCCCAGCCTCACCTGGCACCTCCAGCACACCCTTCCCATCTGTCCATGGGCCCAGCAGCACCATTTAAACTCAGCCCTGGGTGTTCAGTTCCTCTAGAGCCATGTTGGAGGAGTGCTGGTCTCCAGCTTAGCCACAGCTATGCCTGGCTCTGGCTGATGTAGATTGAGTTCCCATCTTGGCTTTGTTCTGCCTTGTCACCATGGACCTGCGTGGCAATCACTGAACTCAACTCTGGCCTGTGGAATGACTTCCTGGCTTGACCTCAGACCTGTCTCATCAACATGAAATTGTATGATGGTCTGGACTCTTGGTTGCCCCTGTCTACAATATTTGGGCCTGGCCTTCTTGCTGCGCTCGAAGTTGAGCTTTGGCTGATGAGACACTTCTGCTGGATGTGTTCTGCTCTGTGACTCTTAGCTTTGCTTCCCTGAGGGAGCAGCTGGACCTTGCTGATGGGTTGAAGTGAAGATACTAAAGTTGGACCCGGCAATCAGAAAACAGATCTTGTTGTCAGTAGTTCTCTGATACTAAGCTTCGGGTGCTGCATCAACCAAAAAAGTCAACAAAAGTCTCAGCAACAGGATGGGTAGTGAGAACGAGGTAGTGGATGCTGTGTTGCTGTCGTTGGGTATTTTGTGTAGATATGGTTTATGCATCTCGGGAGAGTGTAGTTTAATTAAGATACAGGGAAAAATAACAAAAATGCGCAAGAAGACAGAGCTGCTGACTTGAGAGACTAAAAACACTGAGCCCCTTTCCTTTGCAGAAGGTCCACAAATGGTTCCTGAAGAGGTATGCCTTTTACCACCCCTAATCTAGCAATTCTGGCTATTGGGAGATAATGAGGAGAATCAGCCACAGAAGGTGCTTAGGCTGGTGAGCCTGCTCTAAATGGCATTGCCAAAGCTGTTGTGGGGACAGAACACTGGATTAGTGGAACAACAGTCTGTCCTAGTGGCAGACCTCTTGTGTTTTTTAAATTTCAGGTTCAGGAATTAACATATCAATACGTTACCAGAGTAGTAATTTCCACAAATCCAATTAATTGTGTTTTACAGTAAGCAAAATGAATGCCTTTGAATGAGGAAACTTGACTCTAAGGCTGTTTTGAGTCGCTATTCATTCAGAATTACTATATTTCAGGAAACTGTAGGTAGGAACACAGAATTTCCCTGGAGCTGTTAACAACCAATTCAGCATTGCTGGGGCAATACTTCAGGCACAACACATTACCCTTCTAAGGAAGTATTTCAAAATCATCTCCACAAATATGTCAGCTTTCTAACCTATACCTTTCCAAAATTAGAGTGAGGAAACTCTAATGATTTCCTCCTTTTTGCTACCACCTTATGTTTTGATTCTTGAAAATGAATAGCTAGTGTTATGGGGAAGAATCCTCTATGGTGTTTGAAGTGTTTATGTAGAGTGAGAAGTTTGCATGGAGGGTGAGTAGTGTCTCTATTTCACAGTTGCACACTACTGTTTCTTGTGTAGAATAGATTTACTGTGATGCTACTACCTTATCTTACCGCAAAAAGTGCTGTTCACCTTTATTGTCCTTCTTGTTTACAGCTTGTTTTTTGGTAACCTCTATATATACTTCGCTTGGCAAGGAAAAACTCACATATCAGGTGGGTATTGCTTGTTTATATGGGAGGCCATCCTTTAAAGTATGGTAGTGTGAATAAACGGATGAAATAATGAACTGGAAAGTGGCAAGAAACTTAGACAATAATAGGCATTTTTTTTTCCTATTTCTTGTAAGCTAGACGATTTTTGGAATATCTTTTTGATTCAGTGTTCCATAGGACTCGTGATCATTGTGTTATGTATGTTGTTTTCCTGCACACAATGCACTTTAACACCACCTTCTAGGGTATTGTCGATGAAATTCTTCAGAATGTTGGTTTAGAACAGGGTTTTCCACCATAGTTACTCCGGGTTTGTGACCTGTGCAGACACGCTTATGCCAAAATATGCATATTTTGGCAGAAAAGTATTCTAGAATGACTGTATATTTAATATACATACCGTTCCATTCCAAAGTAAGCTCCTGGTGTCGACCATCCTTCTAAATCAGATTGGAGACTTGATTAACCTATGAAATAAAGGAAAACCCTCCCAGTTCACTTCATGGCTGCGCTAATGGTTGTGCTGACACCCCCCTGCACCTAGAGGTGCAGCCAGCCTGAGAGTGGGCTGCTGCTGCTTAAACTGCTCCATCGCTGGAAGATGTGTAAATAACTCACTCTTCCTTTCTCAGCATACTTTATGAAGACTAACTTGCTAATGGAATTGTAATTAGTACTATAGTTTTTTTGTTTGACGTGGTGCTAGACTGGTACAGAGCAGGAATTGGAGAACAGTGGACTGCTTAATACTCTTGAGAAGCTGAATAGTGGTTGAAACTGGTTTTAAAGCAGAGATTTCTGGCAACTGCTTAAATAAGCAAGGCAAGGTGGGTGGCAGTATCCGCTAATAAATGGCAATGGGGAAGATAGAGCAAAAAGTAGCAAGATTTTAGTTATAAAAACCGAGTATTGCTGCAAATCCACGTTTTGCAAATAAGTTTGTCCTGTTCTATAGTGGCTATGAGAGTTTTCTTCATTGTAGTCTTAAAGTAAAATATCTACTAGAATGGTCAATTCTTTTAACATTTAAAATATGGGGATACTTCTGCTGTAGTCAATCAGGAATAAGATGTTGACTTTTACATGATAATTATCGAGCTTCAGAAATACTGCCCTGTTGAGAGGAATAGTCCAATTCATGCCTCTGTTAGATCCATCTTTTCAGGTTCCCCACAGCCATGGGCTTGTAGCGCAGCACAGGTTAATTTTTAAAGGTTGTCTTTACATTCCTTCACCTTTAGCATGTTATTGAAAGTATTGGGGGCACTTTGAACCTGATGGGCCTGAAACATCTGTGCATTCTCCACTTCATTGCTCTTGCTACGTGCAGAACAGAGCAGTTCACTGTAAGGCTGTTCTGCTGTTAAATGTTCCTCCAGCTTTAAATGTTTTGAGATTCCACTTTATTAAAAAACATTGATACCAGAAAATTTAACAGCATTTAAAAAACAATTCCTCCTTCCTTTTACTACCTATATAGAAGTATTACAGGCACTTCAAGGTGAAGCATGTATTCTTTTTGATCTGTAATCATGCAGAATATTGCTGTAGAATAATTCTATGTTTATGTTTAAGCTGAAAGTAAATACAAGCGTAGGCAATATCTGCAGAATCAATCACAGCTATTAGCTGTTTCTTGGCTTTTTTTTCCCCTGCTTAATATTTGTAAATAAGAGTGACTTCTGTATTACTGATTTGTCTGTGCCTAACAAGTTGGTTGGTGCAGCAGAGCACGGGGCAGCAATTCCCTTCCTCCAGCTGCACAGTGTACATTCTGTCAGTGAGGTTTTGATGATTTTAAAGCCTTTGTAGTTTACAAGCCTCCCAGTTTATGATGTTACGGCACTAATATTTCTGATGCTGGTAAAGAGCTTTTTTTTAAAAAAATTTGAAGGGTTTTGGGATAGTTTGCTATGTCCACTCTGAATTATAAAAGTCTTGAGAAATGTGCTTTCTTCTGCTAATAATTTATTTTGTTAATTGGCTCCTCCTTGGTCATAGCCTTTGCATGGCAGAAAATGCGAGTGACACTGTTAATTATGCCGATATTTTATTGGCATCATAAAACTGAGACAGGAATTTGCCAGCAGCTGAGTACCTTTTGCTCCACTTGAAAGGTAAGTTAGCAAATTAGTGTGCGTTTTAAACGCTGTTTCGTAGTATGTCTGTGTTAGTTCTTTGAAGGTAGCTGAATTGGTTTGAATTGCTTTTGCACATCTGGTTATGACTCTTGTTTGTTTTTCCACAGAGAGCGATCGCAGAACTGTCTTCATTGCCCTGACTGTTATCAGTCTTGTGGGCACAGTTCTGTTCTTTCTGATTAGGAAACAAGAGGACACAAAAGCTCCAGGGGAGGAAGATTCTGCTAATGAAATCCTGGGGGATGGCTCGTAAGTGCTTACGGCAATAACATGTTGTCACATACACTGGTTTGTGTTCCTGCTCCTCGATGGAACTTCGCACTCACTTGCCCTCTGAAATGGAAACATAAATGTTATGAACAACCTGTAGAATGTATAGATTTAATAGAAAAGTATCTGTACCCTAAGCGAGAATTAATGTTCTTTATGTGACATATTCTCAAAGGTGGAGTGCAGTATTAAGTTTTTTTTATTAATGAGGAAGTGCTTTTGGAAAGATACCATTTACCTCTTTTCTCCACTGATTATTAAACATGAATCTGCCTTTCATAGTCTGTCTTGCCCTCATCAGCCCAGTTTAAAGGTTGGAATAAGCAGGAATTACTCCCTTTTTATAGGTTATCTTTTACATACTGAAACATATTTTTCATATTTCTCTAAATACCTATATGCCACCCTGATAAATACATTAGAAGTGCACAGGTACATAGATTTAGTACAGTTTTGCCTGAGGCATCAGTTTAAATATTTTTGCTTTTAAGGAATAATGGAAATGTTACAAAAACATCAGTAAGTGTGCCAGTGGAAAAAATGTTCAAAGCTAAAAATGCTCAGAAGAAAGACTCTGTTAAGCAGGTTAATTCTTGAATGGCATCCACTAGCCCGGAAAGCACATAAATTTTGTAGTTTGTAGTTTAGATTCTCAGAATCTTTAATAATAATTTGGTACATTCCAGTATATAATTCTGGGCTAGAAAATGTACAGAAAATCTGAAATAAGTTAAGCTGACTTCCAGCATAGTGATGCATAGTTATTTTTTTCCATTTTGACAATGTCATTTGTTTATCCAGGTCTGCACAAAACAAACTGGCGAGAGCAGTGGCTGCCTTCAGTAAGTAATATTTCACGTAAGAGTGGTTTTAAAAAATTCTGACACATTCTTTCCAGTTCTCCATAATTCTCCTGATAATCTGATCATCACTTAAAACAAAAATTTGTGAAAATTAAGGTTTTAAGAATGCATTTCAGTTACTCCACTTCAAATACAGACCTTCAGGGATGTCCTGCTTGGAAAAATGACTGCCAGGAGGCAAAGGTTTTCAGATCAGAGATGGCAGTTCACACAGGGACACAGGACTGATGAGTTTTGAGCCTGATAGGAATTCAGTTCTCTCTGTGAGTATTTGTGATTTTGAGCCTAGGCAAAATGGGGCTTGGAACTGGAAAATCTTGGGAACCACTGAACTAACGCGTGGGCAAATTACTGTTGATGTGTGATTACTGTGAGCTCTCTGTGCTTCAGAAGTGCTCCTTTCAGGTGACAGTGTCTTACAAACAAAGCTTGACTTGCAAGCCAGGAGAGTGAAGTAGACTTCGCTTAAATTACATACTAGTGAAGCTCAGAAGTACTTCCTTGAGGCAGTTTCAGATCCAAGCTATTTCACAATACCTTCTGTCTGGAGACACGCTCCAGAAGAACAGGTCACTGCTTGGGAAAGCTAGTGCATGAAAGTGCTTTTTTTTAAAAACAAAAATAATAAAAAAAAAAATCACTAACATAAGATAAAAGAGAAGTTACGTGTTGTTTTATTTTGTTACCAAGCGATACCACTGAAAACCAACAAATTTGAACTAGAGCATCTGCAGTTTCCATTGTAGTTTGATGTGGTCTGCCTCTGACTGTTAAGTTTGTTTTAAGAACATAGGGATCTTCACTGAGAATTTATTTATATTTTTAGGAGACAGTCACCATGAACTCAGAGACAATACAAGAACACTATGAGCAGAAAATGGTCTGCTAATTGAAAATTCTGTATCCCCTCATTAGTATTTCCCCTCCTGGCATTTGTTACAAAAAAGGATTTCAGATCACAGCATTTCTTTTACAGGGGAGGTGAGGGTTGGTTTGTGTAGCACTCTGTTTACTGTAATAAAGTCACAGTTTGCATAATTTTAACCTATTTTTGCTTTAAGCAAAGACCAAAAGAAAGTTTAGAGTCTCTAAATAGTCTTAGCAGAAGTTTATGTTAATTTCCGTTTTTATGTCTTTACAGAGAAATCTATAAAGCTGAGCTTCACCAAAGAGATCATGCTTCTCAGTGTCACAACAGCCTACACAGGTAGGTAGTGGACTCATGGCATCGTTTGGAATTTTAACCCCAGAGCAGGGTCACAGCTCTGTGTCTCTGCAAACATTACTTGAATATTTCAATTAACTTTGAATGAGTTACTCAGGACATTTCTAACTCCTGGAAAGTGTGTCTGTATGGGAGGAGGGGTGCTCCTAAATCTGTGAATATGAGCAGATGTAGTAGTTCTTGGTTCAGTGCAGTTCTGGGTCACCCAAACTGAGAATTAGGCAAAATTTACGTAATTGGTTTTCAGGGGATTTGCCATTACACTATAAATGGGTTGTAGGTTGTTTAATGCAATTGTGTTGGATTTGAATTAAGCTTATTTTTGCAGAGTATGATTTCAGTGTCCCCTCCATTGAGGTGCAGGAAATTACTGACAGTCTTCATTTTAGTCTTGGTTCTATTGGGAAAAAGTTTAGCCACTTTCAACTATTTTTGTCATTAGTATTTGCTGTGGCAAGAGCTCTCTTTCTTTTTAGCAACTTAAGTTAAACCTGGCCTGCCATTGTTAGACCAAGGTGTGAGTTGTACAATAAAAACACATTACACATTTATTTTTGCCGTATACTAAAGTGATTCTTCAAGAAAAATACTATAAAACTGTTAAAAATGTTACCGGGATCTTTAATGGGTTTGGGTGGAAGTGATTCTTGCTCTTTATTTGGTTTCAGATGTAATTCTGTTGATCAAATTAAATTTCAGGAAGAATAGATGCATCTTGAGAACCTCAGCTCAGAGTCACCATTATGAAAAATTGTTACTACCTCTTGTGGGTGAAAAGGAAAATTTTGATGCAAAGAAACTATGAGAACAATGTCGTAGCATCTGCCAGAGCTTCAGGTAGAGAAATAGCAGCAGTAGCTACAAAATCACTTGCACCAGCCACTAACCTGTGTTATAAGTTACATCACAGCATCTCCAATGTTGTGTTAACCCGAATTACCTGACTTGAATTCCTCTTAGATGTTTAGTGCAATGGGAACGTGAAGCAAGATAACAAGGGAAAGGAATAATTCAGGGTTTGCCTGATTAATCTGAAATTTGGTTTTAGAGGTAGCAGGAAAATAATCAGTCCGGCTTGGAAAAAATAGCTGCTGCCATCTGGTGGCTATGGTCAGTATTGCCGCTTTATGCAGGAAAATATTAAATCCTTTAAGGCCAGCAAAAGCTTTTATTTCAAAGATTGATGGTCAGATTATTAAAACTGCTCAAACTTCACCCCTTTTCAGGGCTATGCAGTTCATATACCATGTTAGGTAGCCTGCTACATGTAGACCAGAACATGATGGACCTTACTTTTGCAGTAGCAAAAGGCAAAGGAAGTAAATGAGAAATAGTTCTATTGTTGAACTTTTTTTCTTTGTTGAAGCATAACAATTTGCATTATTTTAAATATATTTTCTATTAAGGAACTGCTATTCTTACACTGATGGTTGCTTATTGTTAAAGGAGAAGTGTCTGCCTGAGCATTCACACCCCGTCCAAGGGGTTGCACACGCAGCACCCGAGTCTGTCGCTGCTCGGACCAGGGATCCTTGGCATAGGCACCCCATGGGTGCCCCTTCCAACTTCTCACACACACACTGACACTCGGGCACGTTCTTTCCTTCAGGCTTGACCTTGGATTTCCCAGAGCAAAGTCTCGGGTGTCAGATTTTATAAAAACAAATAACTGAATGGAAAGGTCCAGCAGTGGGGTCAGCTGGGACTGGGCACCTCCAGAGAGGGGCGTTCAACAAAGAAATCCCTGGGCAGTGATGCCCTTGGGATCCGTAGACCCACCCCTCACATGTTTTTCATGCATCTTTTAATCCAATGGTGATTTTTGGTCTGGGGTCTTCCAACACCACCTTGAATTCTTTTTCTGTGTCAGGGCTGGCCATTGACTGCTCTTACCCTGTTGATTTGCAGTCTCTGCTGACAGTTGCTGCCTCCTTATCTTCTGGTTTACATTTCTTGCACACCTGTGCTCACTGGCAGAGCATGGGGAACTGAAAAGTCCCAGACTCAGGGAAAAACACTCCCAAAACATCAGTGTGTTGCTGACATTTTCCTTATCCTAAAGGACTAAACACAGCGCTGTGCCAGCTGCTGGGAAAATGACTAAGAAAATTAGTTGCAGCCTAAATGCTTCAGCAAATCTAGCCACTCATGCCCGGTAAAGCTAGGCAAACAGCTAAGTCACACTGCATTATAACCCTAAGTAATTTATTCCAATTATTTATTCCAACTTACTTATTTAAGTTAAGCAACTAATATCTTTCAACACTTACGGTCATGCTGGTTGCACTCAACTCTGTTACCTTTTCCTCACAGTAATGGAGGTAGAAAGAAAGAAGAGTTTTAAACAAATAGCAGCTGTTCTTTTTCAGTTTTAGTTCATTATGTATATAAAAGTAGCAGTCTGTTTTAGGAATCTGAGCTCTTTCGGTATTTTGAGGTGCAGGGAGTCTCTCTTAGGAATGCCATAACTTGGGCGATGGGGGAATCTTACATGTGAAATTCCAAAGTTCTTGAAAAGCAGAAATATAAACTCTACGTAGAAATTGTGTCAACAGAAGCACTACTGAACCTATGTGCATGTGACAGTAATTAGTGACACGGTGTTTTTTCTAATACAGTTTTTGTAAACTGGCATTGGGGACTATCATAATTACATAGTTTAAAATTCCCTAATTGCTTCTACTGCACATACTTCATTTGAATATATATAATTGGAAGGTGCCTTGAGACATTAAGAATCTTTTAATAACTTTCATAACAGTTCGTTATCAATTTTGTTTGGTTTCTTTCAAAGGTTTGGAATTAACATTCTTTTCTGGAGTATATGGAACATGTATTGGTGCTGTGAATAGGTTTGGCAGTGAAGAGAAGAGCCTTATTGGCCTCTCGGGTATTTTTATTGGTGTTGGAGAAATCTTAGGTGAGTCTGAATTTACTACCTTATAGGAAAAAAAAGGATTAAGATGATGTAGTTACTCAATATGTTTGTTTTTTTTAACTGAATACCGTCTTTCGAGCTTCCAGCAATGATTATGGAAACAAAAAATGAAATACTAGAAAGAAGATGGTCAATGTGATTCCTTATTGCACTGTGAATTATACATTGCAGCATGTAAAGCGAGCACAGACTAGGATATGAAATAGAGCTGACTATGAATCCGAAGGTTTTGCATTCTTTTGGGGATAGTGCAAAGGAATACATGAGACATAGAATGAGAGAAACAGTAGGCTACACTGTTACTGGGGAATTTTTGGTATTTTGATATTCTGTTTTTAAGTAGTATTCTGCTTACATTTTTGTTATTTCTTAAGTGATATTGTAACTATTTGAAATTTATTTAAAAAGCATTGCACTAAAGATTTCTTTCTTTTAAAAAGTTACCTTGTGTTAAATTAGATGCGATATTTGAATACAGGTAATGTTCACTACCTATTTTATTACTTAAAATAATATACATAATATACTTTTTACTTAAATACAGCAGTGTTGTGGGTTTTTTTTTTTAAAAAAAAACAACAACAAAACACACAACAACCAACAAACACTATCTGTGTTCACTAGCAGCTTGGATCCATAGAGATGCATGTTTTTGCAATTAAAAGAGCTAAAGCACTTCACTGAGTACTGTTGCAACACTGGAGGAAACAGTGCTTGCTGGGGGAGGTACTTGCAGAAAGTTCAAGTGTCTTCATTGGCATCATCTGATAAATCTCCTGCCCACATTTCCCAGACAGCTCTAGCAGCCCAGAAGCTCTGTCAACTTGCAAATGGGGCTGCAGATCTGGCAGGTTCCTTGAGACTCTTCTTATGGCTGTCAATCTTTCAGTTAGCCAGTATGGGGAAGCTTATAATCTCAGTTTTCAGCTTTTTTTTGTGGTGCTTTACATTCTACTCTATTCTTTACATCTCCCTCTCTGATTTAATTCTCCAACCTTTTCCCCTCACACAGGTGGAGGACTCTTTGGTTTACTGAGCAAGAACAACCGCTTTGGCAGGAACCCTGTTGTGATGCTGGGCATCGTTGTCCATTTCATTGCCTTTTACTTAATTTTTTTCAACATGCCAAATAACGCCCCTATTGCTCCTATGGAAGGAACAGATGATGTTGCTTATATGATGCCAAGGTATGTAAACTTTTCCCTTTGGCAGGCATAACTCAAGATGTATATAAACACTTTATTCCTCTAATAGAAAAATCCTTGAAGCTGCTTTTCTGTGTAGTGACTAACTCCACAGAAAAAGCTTTCAGGAATTCTGTTTTTATTCAAGGTAGATATTCTACCAGCGCACACTCCATTTAGGAATTGAGATGGCATGAGAATAAAAAGCATGAGGATGTTTGGTAGCAATTCTGCCACTTGAGAACTGACATTTCTGACATCTAGTACAGTAGTGAGACCAGCAACTCTTGTACTAGGTGTTAGGAATTCAGTTTGTTTTAAACCAGTGTTGGGCTCGGTTTTAGTACAGCCCAGAACACCGGCCTTGCCCTGTTTTACTGGTTTCTGAAGTCTTTGAATGCTCATTGTCAAAGTCTGCTTGATCTAATGAGCCATGCTATGCCTGTCTCTTACACCACTCAGTGTTAGGGGAAGAACATAGGGAATTTTCTTATCTCTTCATTGCAACCTTCTTCTGGGGTGTATTTTTGAAAATTTGTGTGAAAACCCAGTGTTGTCAGTTTGCTAACTTGCAATCATAGGCATTTGTGCTTGTGCAGGTGACTATTCGTTATTTAACCAGAGTATTTCTCTGCAAAAGGAATTGGTATTTCTCTAATAATCCTGCAGTTTTTATGAACTCACCATGTGTGTCTCAGCTTTTAATCACTGCCTTGTGGGCTTTGTGGCTCCAAGCACCAAAATGAGTTCTTTTAGCAGTTCTGCAGTCAATTCTGCACTGAATTAGGTAACAGAAGTCTTTAGCATTCAAGAAATTAAAATCTGATAAAACTATTCTTTTTGCCAAGCCAAGCGTTCCCAGTTCTTTCCCAGTGAAATTTAAAGTCTGATAACTTTCTTCCATTCTCAGTTTCCAAATAAGTCTGCCAAAAAATAATTTGAGAGATGTGTAAGCTGTTTCAATGAATGGTTTTTAAATTTGATTCATTTTCTCCTTCAGCAAAGAGGTGGCTATATTCTGCAGCTTTCTGTTGGGCCTGGGGGACAGCTGCTTTAACACCCAGCTCCTCAGCATTTTAGGATTCCTGTATTCAGAAGACAGTGCTCCTGCCTTTGCCATCTTTAAGTTTGTTCAGGTATTACATGGCACAGCCTTTTGAAAGTGTGACTCTTGGAATGTTATGGAAATACTGGGCTGGGTTTTTTGATGACCTCAGAAAAATTAGATTGTTTCTGCAAAAAATTTCAGCCTGTTTTTTTTATCTCTCACAGGGAGATAAGAGTTTTAGGTAGGAGTTAGCATGATTGTATCACTTGGTGTATTAGCTTGGTTTGAGTATATAATCAAACTGCTGTTACTTACAAGTTAGAAGTGTTGGGAATTGTAGTTTGAAGTCAAAAGGTTAATACAGTTAACCAGCCTTGTTTTTTATTTAAATAACAATTTACGGAGTTTATTTACTTCAAGAAGTCTCTGAAAGAGGGGGGTGAGTTAAAAGGAAACGGGTTGTTTAAATAGTAGTTGAAGGGTTTGTGGACAATGTCCCATGTCACTGGGAGCTGTCAGGTGGGTACATAGACAAAAGAAGAATTGTTGTGTTGTTTATCTGTTCTGAAGTTGTCAGAATGCCAAAATAAATACATCTGTGCTGGCTGGAGACTCAAAAAGTCTTTGTGCAATATGAACACAACATAGGTCACTTCACTCACAGGCATTTATCTTGTACTGAACTTCCCAGGTCAGGATCAGAGGTGTTGGTCAGAGGTATGGCATCGGCAGAAAAACAGCCGTGCAAAGCATTGAAGCTGTTGTGCGGTCACACCAGTAGTGAGCTGGTGCTGGGAGCAGAGGTCAGGGTGTGTCTAGTTTAAAAGATGACAGCTGCTTGCTTAAAAAAGATTTATTTTTTTTTCTTCCTTGTACACTGCTGCATTTTAACCTCATTCTCAGTGATAAACAGGAATTTGAGATAGACGTGGAATATAAAGATATATGAGCTCTAATGAAGATTTTACCTTTAGAGGATAGATTGCAAGTAAGCAGTGCTGGTTGTCAAAGCCTCGAGCTCTTGATACAGAATATCTTGTGACGCTGTAAAACAAAATAGTTTTCTGGGTTTTGTCTTAAAGCCCTGGCAGTGGTGTTTCTACACAAACTGTTTTCAAATACCAGAGAACTGCGATGCTACAAATGCCTTTGAGTTTTGTGTTCACTCTCTGCAGTGAGCACTATTTAAATAACAAGTAAAACGGAAATCTGTTGTGTATTATATCAAAGCATATGTTGGGGATATAATGGAGTTTTAAGATGATAGATCTTTTACAGAAGCATACTACTAAAAGTTGCATATTAAACTGTGTGTATGTCAGTTTGATAATCCTTGGATAGTAATACCAGCCTGGATATCTCCACTGAAAAATCTTCTTACGTTGTGTTTTCTCTCTCAGTCCATCTGTGCTGCAGTTGCTTATTTCTACAGCAACTACTTTCTTCTGCAGTGGCAGCTCCTGATCATGGTGGTTGTGGGCTTCTTTGGGACAATTACCTTCTTCGCCGTGGAGTGGGAAGCAGCAGCAGCTCTCGCTGCCCGCGGCTCGGACTACAGCAGCATCTGATCTGGGTACCACGTCTCGTCCAACCACAGGGAAAACAGGCACGTTTATTGTGAAGGGATGCCAGGAGGTGGAAAAAACCAAGTCACTGCAGAGCTGAAGACGGAGGAAGCTACTTCTAAATCACCATCAGTCTTAACTGAATGTGAAATAAGGGAGGAAAAAAAATGCCACACTTGAAAGGCTTTTTTTCTTGCTTTAATTGCCAGAGTGGTATGCATGTTCTTAACAGTCTGGTATTAGAAATGGAAGGAAATGTAGAGATCTATGTATTGAGCAGTTCTGTTCTGAGATGTACCTTTCAGAATGTAATTGCCTAATTTCACTCTACCGTGCACTACAAAATTGCAGTTTCATTTTTTTCCCCCTAAATTATTTTTCCTATATTCCGATTCTGCAGATGCTTGAATTCTTGCATTGAATAAGTGATGTTTTTATAAGGTACACTATATTGCCAAATGTATCTGCACAACCGAGAAAACAATTTATGTCACTGACCTTTTTTCAACAGTTAGATATGAAGAAGTATTTCTGTGGGAAATGTTGCCTTCTTATTCTGCATCACCCAGATCCTTTTTCCCCAACCATTTGCTTTTTAATCTATTTAATGTGCTCTTAATTTTTTATTTTTTTTTTAAGAAAGAATGAGGGTGTAGTGTGACAGGAAGGATTTTACAAGCATTTGAAGAAGTTACTCTTAGCTGTCTTAATACTTCACAGACCACAGGATCCCTTCTTGATAATTGGGAAGAGTCTCTTGGTGCAGCATCTCGGAGTTGAGCTGTGTTGGCAGAGCTGCCAAAACTCTCTCAGGGCAATGAAGGACCATAAGACATGGCTTCCAACCCAGCCTCCCAAATAGTTCTTTCGAGTTCAGTGAAATTTCCATCATAATCTGTGGTGGGAGCATTGTCTAAGGTAACTTTTTAAAACTACAAATAGACTCGGAATGTGAACTGTAAAAATAATCTTGCAGTGTTTATTTTGCTGCATAGTCTAAAAATAGCTGAAACGCTTGACATAAGTTGTTTCATTCAAGATATTTTGGGCTGTGCTGTAATCTTACTCTGCCAAATGCAAAACAAGGATACTACTAGCATAGTAACTAAGTTTTAATGCAAAACTCTTACAGAAGATATAATACAGGCAGTGAATGCAACTCGCCTTGATTTTTATCTGTCTGTGTGACTCTGTAGTACTTGCAGTTACATTTCTGTCTAGCAGGCAAACAGGATACAACTGTGAGCAGGTAGGGAGCACTGAGAAGGTGTTTTTAGACATTCCATATAGCTATTTTTAGAAAAGTACTGCTCACCAACCTTTTTTTTTTTTTTTAATGCACAGTCAGAATGTTAATGTCTTCTCTTTAAAGACAAGTTAAAAAAAGTTGACTGGGTGTGCTGTGTCAGTGGCTCCTGCCTGTCACAACTACGTAGGTGTAGCCAAGGTTAAACCTGGGGAAGTGTGGGATCTCCTGTGACATTTGCTGTCACTTTTACTCTCGGAGGGGATGTAACACAACTCCTGTGAAGCACAGCCTTCTTCCTGCACAGGGAAACGACAGAGAGGGGCGGTTTGATGGGCACGTAGAACAGGGTTTTTAAATTCACGGCAGGTTTTTGCTGTGAGATCAGTAGAGTGTTAATGGGAGGATGAGAGGGCACCTGAACATTTGGCAAGCGAAGGAATCCGCGAGGACAGCCAGGAGAGAAAGCCTTTGTGTGTTCCCAGGAGGTTTAATGAATGATGTAAAAGAGAATGAGACGGAACACACATTTGAGCAAGGGGTTACCGAAGCCATTCCAATTTGTCAGACAAACTGAAAAAGCACTCAGTACTCAATCAATACGTATGATTAATGTGACTAGCAGCACTCCAATGCCTCTCGCTTATCCACTCCTGTTATCCTTTAATGTGAAGGATACTATTTTTATATACTGAGCACCGTAAAAGGTATAGACAATAGGACGCTGCCAGTGATTAGAATTCTCATGTTGCTATACAATTGTATTTTCTGTCAAGTACCAAAAGGGATAAAGAGCTTTTTTTTTGAGAGAGAGAGTTACTGACTTTTGCAGCCAAACTCTTCCTGGGACCTGTGTTCTTCCTTACGTATAAACGAGGGAAGAAGGACTGGAAAGTTCACAAGGAACAATTTTGCCTTACAGTAAATGGGGGAGAGAGAAAATGATTCCTGGGTCTTGTGGTGATGAGTAACTTATAAATGCTTTTAAAGCAATGGCATTTAATTGTAGCTAGGTTACGGGTCTCACGAGGTTGCTTTTTAAATTAATTCCTTTTAATGATGAACTTCTGTGTTGTTCTGCCATACAAGAATTGTATCGACTGTTTTATTAGAAATTAAAGAAAATTGCTAAGTTTATGTAGTTTCAAAAGGCATTTTTGAGACTGACTGTCAGGGATACTAATGACTTAGGACTAGATTTTTCAGTACCTCTGTGTACCTGCTTTACTCTTTTTCTTTCTTTTTTTTTTTTTTTTTCCCCTCTGCTTTATCTGACTCAATACCAGATAATATTAGGAGGCTGTTGAGAACTATTTATTGGGTCATTAAAGTGAAGAGTTATTGCTCTGTGGCAAGTTTTACAAGAAATCATGAAATTCTCAAAACTGCATCATGGATAGCTGTATTTTTTATTTTTTTTTTTTTACTATTAACTATACAAGTATAGCATACTTGACATTTGGTCTGAAGAGACAGTTCTCAGTTATTCAGGCGGATGATGACACATGATTGCCTTTCACTTATTCATATTTCTTTGATTTTTCAGGAGAAAAATTCACCCAGCTATACACAATTGCAAGATCAGTCAGAAATTTTGGTATAGTGATGCTGACACCCATTTAGGATTCTATCTCAGTCTTTTATCAATATTTACCAGCCTCCATTCTTTTTACCTCCTTGGCCTTTGAGCAATTCATGTTAATCTGAATTGGGTGCTTAGTGTTAAATTACGTGGGATTTGAAAAAAAGGCTTTTGCTGTATTTGTGGTGCTGTGAGTTTGTTTTATATTAGGGATTTTATCTTTATAAGTGAAATGACAGATTGAGTTGCTGGGGTTTATTGAAAAGAAATCTTTCTTTCATTTATTTTTTTTTCTTCACCCTTTTAGGTTGTTGCTAAGGTTTAATATCTTCACGTATTGCATCCCCAAGTTTTTCAAATAAATCCTAAAGGGGAAATGAAAACTGATATTTTTGACACTCCAGTGCCAAAGAAGCTGCTACAAATTAGTCTTTAATGCATATCATAGAAGCATATCTATATTTTTGTCTTGCCAGTTGGTTTTCATTTTGATTTGAATGTATGGAAAGAGAAAATTTGTACAACTGCAGACCTTGTTCGTAATTATGATGTGCTTTTACTTCTGCTGGGTTAATTTCAGTAGGTACAATCTATGTCAGCAAGTTGAGATAAGGAAGAGAACCATTTAGAAAATGTTCTTTATAAGTAATTCTAATATATAAATTTCTGCAGATACAGTGAACTCATAAGGGATATATAAAAAAACCAAAACCAACCCAACTGGAAACCCTCCCTAACCTTTGCTGAGGTCCCTGTCTTAGCAGAAACCCTCCTGTGGTACAGTTGTTAAAAACAAGAAGTCTTTTGCAGGGATAGTTCTTTCAGTTTTTGTGACCATCTTAAACTATACTGGAAATAAAACTTCCTGGTGGAGTTTGTTGGTATAACTTAATGGAAATATAATTTAAGGGAGGTTGCCTGGCAGCTCAGTGCTGTTTGAAGCGTGGGTGTGTACGGAGAGAGCATCAAAGACTCTTTTCTAGGGCAGTGATTAATTGTTTGCTGTCAGTACAAATAGGAACCACTGTGTTTAACATCATGCCTGTAGATACTTTGACTTGAATTGTGCAAGTATCTTAGTTAAGACAAGATCTTACAATCTTGAACATTAATTCTCCAAGTGAAATGCGTTTTCAAGGACTTTATCCACACCGCTATTTCCCTTGGAAGTTTTGTAGCCCCACTGAATGGCAGCAGTAGTTCATACCAAGTTCTCCTTGGTCCCTGGTAGGTCTAGTGTGCTGGCAGAAATATAAAAAAATGGGCAAATTTAAAGGTGAAATGGAGAAGTTACCTGCTTAACAAGGTACTTGCCATTCTGATGTGACCACGCTGGCTCAGAAGCAAGGTTGAGATTCTGCTGTGGTTTTCATGAAAAAACTCAGAACGATGCTTTGCAAAGTTTAAGTTCAGGGGTTGTGTTAGTACCACAGGGAAGCACTAACGAGAGGCTGGAAGAAACATCCTTAAAGTGCAATAGAGAGCAAATCTGGACCTGGGAATAATTCTCAGCAGGCACCTGAAGAGGGTGCTTTGCTCAATGAGTTTGGGCATTCAGCTGCTACTGGCACTTGTATTTGTTTTATATTTCTCTGCTATCTTGGTTATTTCAGCTGTTGACACGTCCTCCTGCAAGCTATTCTTTCCCTTTTGTTTATGTTTTGACACTGTGCAGAAGACTAATTTAAATGATTGAAGCTGGTTCTACTTAAATAAAAGGTGTCTTTGGGTTAGGATTGGAGATAATTGAGAAAAGGCTCACACAATGATTGTCCTCACCAAAACTCTGATTTCAAGTGAGTGTACCGACTCTTTGCTATGTTTCTTTTTGTGGTCACAGCCGTGCAAATAAAAGCTAATCACAAACAGTGTTTTTGGTAACACGCTTGTTAAGTTGTCGGAATTGCTTTTAAGAGCCACGCCAGGGGCTTTGGAAAAGTGAGACACAGCCTGAACTGAGGGATCTCGGAAGTGCTGGGTGGCACCAGGGAAATGAAAATGTTTGGTTTGTGCTGAGCAGCCCTTTTGAACCACTTAGTTCCAGTTGTGGCTCGGACTAGTGAAATGTCCAAGAGAAATCAGGGTGGCTGCTTCAGTCCTAGCCCGTTTTCTTTCCCTCTCCTGTTTGAGAGCCCATCCTCTGAGAACTTGTTAGAAGGACAAAGTGCCTAATGTGTTTCGGGTTTTTTTTTTTTATGGGTTCTACTTCTCATATCCCTTTCCTCGACTTTAGATATTTTCCTCTCAAGTGTTGTATGTCTGAAAGACTCCACAAAATTACTCAGTCCTGTTTATTACTGGGTCCTGTTTATCTGCAATTAAATGTAGATGTGGAAGGCTGTTGTCCAGAGACTGTGTGGCTAAAGGGCAGATTCGGTCCTGGCTTCATGTAGCAATTATAGGTGAAGGGGGAAAACTAAAAGGTTTGTGCCTTAAATTAAAAAAAATAAAATTCATTCATTCTGTCGTATTAAATGGAAATTATTATTTGTAAGGTCACTTAGTGAAATTAGCTTCAATTAAGCATCCTTACTGATTGCAGTGGTGACTGCTTATTGTCAGAGCCACTCGTCTTGTGGTAATACCCGACCTGCAGAGTTTGTTATGATTATTAATCTTTGCAAAAGAACCCAACCAATTACACAGATAATAACTTGTTTAAAAGAGCCTCACCGCCATACATCACTATTTGTTTTGTGCTTACAAAAGTGTAACTGTGTGAGCACTTGTTTAGCGACTCCGGTGCTGAAGGGTTGTACTCAGGGAGTAAAAATTATTTCCTCTGTAGCAGTAAAACAGCGGAGGATGTTTGTGGTGCCAAAAGCAGGGGCAGTGGGAAGAACCACAGGCTGCCAGCGCCTCTGTCCTCGTCAGGCAGAGTGATCCATGGAGGGAAGTGCAGGTGGAGAAGAGCGGTGAGTGCTTGGCCTTTTCTCTCTCTGAAATTGCTCCAAATGCCCATCTAAAATTTTCAGATTAAATTTCTAAACTTTCTTCCCGTTGTACGCATTGAGGGGCTGGAGCGGGTCCAGAGAAGGGCAACGAAGCTGGTGAGGGGTCTGGAGCACAAGTCTTATGAGGAGAGGCTGAGGGAGCTGGGGGTGTTCAGCCTGGAGAAAAGGAGACTGAGGGGAGACCTTCTCGCTCTCTCCAACTCCCTGAAAGGAGGGTGTAGAGAGGTGGGGGTTGGTCTCTTCTCCCAAGTTACAGATGATAGGACAAGGGGTAATGGGTTCAAGTTGCGCCAGGGTAGGTTTAGACTGGACATTAGGAAAAAATTCTTCACAGAGAGAGTGGTCGGGCATTGGAATAGGCTGCCCAGGGAGGGGGTTGAGTCACCATCCCTGGCTGTGTTTAAGAACCGTTTAGATGTGGTGTTGGGGGATATGGTGTAGGGGAGAACTTTAGAGTAGGGTGGATGGCTGGACTCAATGATCCCGAGGGTCTCTTCCAGCCTAGATAATTCTGTGATTCTGTATTCCTATAAAATATCCATATAGGGTATAAATGACGTGTTGTATATTCCTGTGCTCAGCCTGGCACAGGGTAAAAACAACACATTCCTCAACTGGAGCTTCCCTCTCGGTGTTTTCTGTGGAGGTGACCCCACAGCACGGTAGAAGCAGCTGCTCTTCCTCCCCATGGGGCTGGGGTTCCTCCTCTGCCTCCCCAGGCAGCAGGCAAACGCCATGAGGCCGATGCTCTCCCTTGGCGTGTTAGGGCACTGAGCAGTGATAAACTCCCCAGTACAACCAGCACTTGGGCTGTAATGGGGAGTTTTGGAGAAAATACAGCATGAGTGAGTCTGAAAAATGAGCGTTCCAGCGTTCACATTCATATGCCGTCTTTACCTCATGGCAGAGTGAAGCAGAGAGCACTCGCAGGCAGATAGCGATGACATTTATGAATAATTATAATAATTATACGTTGTGAGAGCTTGGTTCTGCAAGTTCTCTGACACGTGGGTAAGACACGGAGCGCTGCCCTTTCCCGGGCAGTGGCAGGGACAGCAGGTGCTCATCGGGGTTGGTGTGGAACAGCACTTGCCTGCACTTCCCTCTTTCACTCTGAAGCTGTGATTTGATACAGACATACAAAAAAAAAAATGACCGTAGGGGAAGGAAAGGACATTATGCACACTGCGTTTCATTTAATGCAGAAAGCAATTGGATTTAAAAGTTTTGCTAGCTGGTAAAAATATTTATGATGATCTGCAGCGAACAAATAAACCACCGATCCCAGGGACTGGGAGGGGAGGGTGACTGGGAATGCTGCAATACTGGAACCTTCATGTTCCTGATGTTCCACCTTCATGTTCCAGTTGTGCTTCATGGATAAGACACCTTTGTCCTGAGGGAGATGCAGGCATGTTTAGCAGGGCAGTTGGACTAGATGATCTCTAGAGGTCCCTTCCGACTCTGCCAATTCCATGATTCCATGTCCTGTGGTGTTAAGGAAAGCACCTGTCAGGCTCCAGTGGAGAAGGACCACGACTGTAGATGGCCCTGAGATGGTGACAGGGACTTGCCCCTGCGAGATCCAGGCATGTTTAGCAGGACAGTTGGACTAGATGATCTTTAGAGGTCCCTTCCGACTCTGCCAATTCCATGATTCCATGTCCTGTGGTGTTAAGGAAAGCACCTGTCAGGCTCCAGTGGAGAAGGACCACGACTGTAGATGGCCCTGAGATGGTGACAGGGACTTGCCCCTGCAGGCTGGCTATGAGCTGGTTTCACATGGCCATGTCCCTCGCTCCAGCAGCCTCCACATCTGCTATCGGTGTGTGCCATGGTGTGGGCTGGTTTCACTCCCCGTGGTGCTTTATTTTAAGAGGAATTAAGGGTCATGTTGCACCATTAAAAATTAAACTTCTTTGCAGATGGTA